TTGCCTGCATGTATGTGAGTGCACCTGTGTCATGCAATTCCGCAGAGATCAGAAGAGGGCTTCAGATTCCCCTGGAACTGGAGTTAAGAACAGTTTGCAGCCGCCATGTAGGTGCTGGGAATCGAATCTGGGTCCTCTGCAAGAGCAGTCAGTGCTCTTAACCACTGAGCCATCTCTCCAGCCCCACTTGACATATTCTTGACACACTTGTAAGACATCTTCTAGATAGAACACTGACCACCCCAGTGAGGGAGGGTAGGATCTGGGGAAGTCTTGGGAGTCAGAGAACCTGTCCAACCCGCATACTGCAAAGCTAAGTGTGGCCAGCAAAGACCCTCCCCTGGTACTCTAAGAAGGGAAGCTACTTAAGTAAGACAGCTCTGGCAGACATCAGACACTTGACCTAGACAGGCTCAATACCAGCAAATACCATAAAAAGACAAGAACCCTTGAGTTCAACTGACACCTCCCCATGCTGATAACGGGCAGTCTCCAGTTACTGAGGGTCCTGACAGAAGCTGCTGATAACAAGCAGTCTCCAATTATTAAGGGCCTGGACAGAAGCTGCTGCTAACAGGGAGTCTCCAGTTACTGGGGGTCCAGACAGAAGCTACTGCAGCTGCTTTTCCCTAGAACTTCCACTTTTTTATTTTTACTATACTTTCAGTAGCATTTTCACCCAGTTGCGCTTTTTAAAAAACATTTTGTTTTTCAATTTCCTTTCATACACTCATCTAATTTCCTTCGTACATTTTTTTCATTATTGAGTAATCTTTACTCTTTTCCTTTCTTTGTGTTCTTTTATTCTTTCTTTTTTGTCATGTGTCTTTCACCATTTTCTCTTTCAGTTTTTCAAACACTGTATAGTTCTAGCACAGAAGAAGCAATGTAGACCAATGAACTAGAACAGGGAATCCAGAAATAAACCCACATGGCTATAGCCACCTAATTTTCCACAAGGTGTCAAAAACATATATTGGAAAAAGCCTCTTCAACAAATGGTGCTAAGAAAGCTAGATGTTTACACGTGGAAGAATGAAACTAGATGTGTATCTCTCACCCGCCCCAAGTCTATTCAGAATGGATTAAATACTTAAAGTCTGAACCATTGAAACTGACAGAAGAAAACATAGGTAAGACACTTGAAGATATAGGCACAGGCAAGGATTCTCTGAAAAGGACTCCAGTAGAACAAGAAATAATCTGAAGAATTGGCAAGTGGAATTAAATAAAATTTAAAAGTTCTGCACAGCAAAGAAAGCAGTCACCAGAGTACAGAGGCAGTCTAAAGAATGGGGGTAAAAATCTTTGCCAATGCCACACCAGACAGGGGATTAATATCTAGAATATTATAAAGAATTATGAAAAATCAAACATCAAAAGTCATCCAATTAATAAATGGACTAATGAACTGAATAGACAGTTCTCAAAGAAATGTAAAATACCAATAAATATTTGAAAAAGTGCTCAACACCCATAGCCATAAGAGACATGCAAATTAAAACTTTTGTAATTCTATCTCACCTCATTCAGAATGGCTATCATCAAGAAAACAAATGCTGGTCAGGACGTGGGGAAAGAAAAGCCCTTATATTCTGTTGGTAGGAGTGTAAACTTGTACAACCACTATGGAAATCAGTGTGAAGATTTCTCAAAAACCTAAAGATAGAACTGCACATGAGCCAGCTCTACCACCCGTGGTGTAGACCCTAAAGACTCTAAGTCAATATACCACAGAGACTCTTGCACATCCATTTCACAGAGCTAAGAAATGGAGCCAGCCTAGATGTCCATCAACAGATGAATAGATAAAGAAAATGTGGTGCATACACCCAATGGAATTTTATTCAGCCATAAAGAAAATGAAATAATGACATTTTCAGAAAAGTAGATGTAAATCATTGTTAAGCAAAATATGCCAGACTCAGAAAGACAAATACCACGTTTTCCTTACTATGTGGAATCTAGATTTAAATGTTTGTGTGTGTGTATGTGTGTAGATAGATAGATAGAAGATGATAGACAGATAGAAGATGATAGATAGAAGATGATAGACAGATAGAAGATGATAGATAGAAGATGATAGATGATTAAATAGATAGGCAAATGCATAGATACATAGATACATAGATAGATACATAGATAGATGATAGATAGATAAATACATAGATACATAGATAGATAATAGATGATAGATAGATGATAGATAGATATAGATAGATAGATGATAGATGATAGATAGAAGATAGATAGATGATAGATGATAGATAGATAGATAGATAGATAGATAGATAGATAGATAGATAGATAGATAGATAAATAGATAGATAGATAGATAGATGTGTGTCCGTCATGAAAATTTTAAAGGGGATCATAAGAGGGAGGAAGAGCACTTAACAGATGGGGAAGGGGCAAAAAAGGGGAATGTGACATGACTCTATTACACTCTCTGGAGGAGCAGGAAAGATGGAGGAGGGCAGTGGGGAGGGGGATGAATAAGAACCAGGTAAAATGATACATATGTTTAAAATGCCAGAATGAAGCACTTTACTTTATATGTCAACTTAAAACTTGGCTATAAAAAGAGCTGGGAAAATGGCTCTGTCAGTAAAAAGCTTGCTGTGCAAGCATGAGGACCTGCATTTGAGCCTCAGAATCCTCATTACAAAGCCAGGTATGGTAGCATGCACTTGTAATCCCAGTGCTGGGGGAAGCAGGGACATGCAGATCATAAGGGCTTGCTGGCCGGCCAGCCTATCTGGCAACTTCAAGCTGGTAAGAAACCCTGTGTCAAAAAACAAGGCCCCTAAGGAATTAGCAATCGACAGAAGAGGAAAGGAGGGCAGGTGAGAAGGGGGAGAAGAGAGGGAGAGACAGACAGATAGACAGACAGAGAAACAGAGAAAGACACAGAGGGAGAGTGTTCTTTTATATGCAGAATCTCTAAAAACTACAGAAGCAGAAAGTACAGCAGGGGCTGGGTTGGAGGAGACACAGGTCAAAGGAAATTATTTCAATTACACAAGGTGAATGAGTTCTGGGATCTGCCCCTCTAAGGCATTGTGACTAAAGTTAACAACAGTGTATCAGATAGTTTAAAGCACTGAGAGCAGATGGTGAGTGTTCTGAGCACAGCATTTCAAGGAAGGCAGGCCTTCTCCAGGGCCAGTCTTCTCGTCGCTGGGCAGGAATGCAGATCCAGCTCAATCACAGCTGTCTTGGCTCAATCTGCAGTTGTGGTTTGCCAAGAAATCTTTTATTGGGATTGTGCCACACTCCTAGTATATGAAGAGTAAAGGAACAAGAAGAATCTTTTCTGCCCAACCGTTCTACTTTGCATTTAAGAAGTGACCTCAAAGAGCAAAAAGAGGGAACCCTCACATCTGTTGCCACACTGCGTCATTGTTGCAACATGAGCCCTCGCCATGCACTATTCTAAGAAACGCCTGTGTCAGTCAAACCTCAAGTTACCTTACGCCATAGATGGCACTGTTATTTTTTTCCCCACTTTTAGCTGAAGGATTTGAGGCTTAGCTGAAGTGGCTAGCTATGCAGTCCTTGGCTAGCGCACGGAGCCTGACTTCACAACCACTTTGCACTTATGTATGTAGCATGAGAGAAACAGTGATGGAAACAAAGCAAGGCTTGGTCTTAGCTTCCCTTACATGTATTGCCTATGCTCTGGTCCAGATCTTTATTGTAAGTAGGGACAAGGAAATAAAGAAATGAAATGGAGAAGTGCAGCTTTGCCCTTGACAAAGTCTGAGACATTGCTCCAGCTACTGGCTGCTGACGCAGACATACTGAGTGATAATACTGTCTAGCACGTGCTCGGTGTCCAGGTTTATGTGGAAGTCCTGTCTTACCCAGTGCAACAGTGAAAAGAGCACACACTCAAATCATATGCTTGGCTACAAACAGATCTCAGATAACTGCTACTAAAAACTAAGCAACACAAAATCCAATATGTCTTAGCAGAATATGTACAATCTAAGGGAATTCTTCATGCTCCATAGTCTCAGTTTGAATTGCACATTAGAATAACGTGGAAAGAACTTTTTTAAGTCCCAAACTCAAGAGTCACTACAAGGAGTCCTGATGAATTGATGTGAGGGGCTCAATGGCAGTTTTCAGATGCTCTCAGGTTGAATCAAAGATGCAGCCAGTGCTGAGAGCCACAGCAATGGGCTAGTATAGTGCTACTGGGCTTCCTTCCTACTGAATAGCTCTGTCTTTGATTAGCCACATAAGCCTAGCAGTGTAGTGCACATTCCTCAGCCTGACTTTTCTTCTAAATAAAATATTGTCAACTAACTCAATGAGGTAAACTGAGACAAGACATAAAGATCCAGAACAGGACTGGGAATGCTCAGATATTCACTCTCATGGTGGCCATGATAATGTTGATGAAGATGATGATGAGGTGGTGATGATGATGATGATGATGGTGGTGGTGGTGGTGATGATGATGGTGATCATGGTGGGGGGATGATGATGGTGGTAGTGATGATGGTAGTGGTGATTTTAGTGATGATAGTGGTTGTGATAGTGATGGTGGTGGTAGTGATGGGGATGGTGGTGGTGGTGGTTGTGGTGGTAGTTGTAGGGATGGTGGTAGTGGTAGTGTAGTGGTAGGGGTGATGGGGGTAGTAGTGGTGGTGATGGTTATAATGATAGTGGTAATGGTAGTGATGGTAGTGATGATGAGGATATGGTAGTGGTGGCAATGATAGAGATGGTGGTAGTGGTAATGGTGGTGGTGAAAACATTGTAACCTTTACCCAGAGCCTAGAGCTACAACACATTTCTCCATTCCAGAAAACAAAGACTGTGACTTCAACCCAATCCGAATTTTATAATCTTTACCATGGATTCCCTACCTGGAAGGTGCCTCTAGAATCTACCACAATTTTTAGCTCATTTGAGGAATATTTGGGTTCCCTAGGAGGTGAGTGTGGTAGCTCATACCTCTAGGCTATAACTGAAAGGAACTCACTTACCTGGGATTGAAATGAATGTTCTTGGGAACTCCTGTGTCATCTATGACCACTTTCTTGTTATCTCTATAATTGACAGGATCATCAGGGATCCTGAATTTGGCCATCTGAATTTCAGAGTCGCTCAGTTCAGCATGAGAAATTCTCGCATAACCCAACCTACAGCAGAAATAGAAAGATTTTTAAAGTCTTATTATACAAAAACCTCTGGTGTGTCAGCAAGGACCTGGAGTCAGTCTTCAACTTCTAGTCAAAATCCAATGAAGCCAATAAACAGCCAAAGATAGCATCTTCATTATTAAGCCAGTTTCCATTTTTTTGAAACAGGGTTTCTCTGTAACTCCAGCTGGCCTGGAACTTGCTATGTAGACCAGGCTGGCCTCAATCTCACAGAAATCTGCCTACCTCTGTCTCCCAAGTGCTCAGATTAAGGGTATAAGCCCCCCCCCCGGGCCAGTTTTCTTTTTTTTTTCTTTTTTTTTTTTTTTTTTTTGAGACAGGGTCTCCCTGTAGCCCCAGCTGGCCTGGAGCTCACTATGTAGACCAGGCTGGCCTTGAACTCACAGAGATCTGCCTGCCTCAGCCTCCCGAGTACTGGGACTAAAGGCGTGCACCACCTCACCAAGCCAGTTTTCATTTTTTAACTTGACTATGTATCACAATTAGAATAAACTTGATTTGTTGCCCTAAATGTTAACAGAAATATTGCTTTTATAACATTGCTAATGAATAAAGAATATGTACATATACTTAATTAACTACACTTAGCAATCTTTCTTTACTTTTGTACATGAATGAATGTTCTGTCTACACAAATTGCTCCCCATATAATTATGTTTTGGGTTAATAAGAGGATTTCTTCAGAATGACAAGAGTGTATGCTTCAATTTTCTTACCTTTAAAAATTCAAATACCACATGCATATTTTCAGGCACATTTACTGGTCTAAAATCAAAGATTTTATTTGTCTAAAAAATTCCACATCCTGTTTTGCTTAGAGCTTTCTTTCTAGTCTGGAAAAGTCAAAACACTTTATAGACATTATCCAAATAGTTCTGACTGAAGTGCTCAGATGGAGAAGTAGGGGAAGCACAGCAGCAAGGAATTCATTTTCATTCCTTTATATTTTGCCTCTTCCAAAAAAAATAATTACATCAGCTTCACTCATTTGTGGATCTGATGCAGCGCCATTTTAGGCATTGGGGGCACAGGGGGTGTAATAAGTCCTAGCTCTCATGGACCTTTTGTTCCAGTTGGAAGACAAATTAAACAAAAGTGTCTTTTATAAAATCTATCAAATGGTTGCAGATAAGTGCCATGGGAAAGTACAGAGGACAGGAGTGCTGGGTGGCCAAGATTGCTATTTTACAGGATGGTCAGTACGTACCTCCTTGGAAAAGAAACATTAAACAAGACGTTGCGGTAAGGAAGCAGGCAAGGCAGATGCCGGAGCAAGGGTGTTTTAGAGAAATGGGATAACAAAGGCAAAGGCTCTGAGTTAGAAATGTGCTTAGCATTTCAGTGAACCAGCTACACCAGGACTGAAAGGGGAATGTGAAAAGAGAGGAGCTTGGGGTAGAGTGGGAGCAGATGCTACAAATCCTGTGCAGACTCAGCACTGTGAGGACTCAGATTCAGACAGGAAGATGAGGAAGGAGGGACTCTGTTAGAGGGGTTCGGGTAGAAATGTGTGGTGGCTACTGTGTAGAAGGTACACATCATTGAAAGAGTCAAAATGGAGAGACTAGTGAGGAGGCCACTGCAACAATTTAGGTACAAGAGGATGGGGACTTCAGCCAGAGAAGGAGGAGGAAAAGTTTAAAGCCAATACTGACTAAACCCACAAAACAGAAACAGGAGCTACAGAGCCAGTGTGGGCAGAGGCAGCAAAGTCTGCCCACAGTGAAAGGCAAGTCAGAAGCTGCAACCAAATGTCTTATGGAGACCTGAGCTGTCAGAGAGGGCAAGACATTTGGCTAGTTCAGGAATTACAGCTCTTGGTAATTCTAAGGCACTGTCTCTTATAAATCTAGGTTATTTCCCAGGTCTCTATGATCAAAGTTCTAACCTGTTTGGTAGATATAACCTTCAAAGAAATTCCTAAAGTCCTTGAAGATAAGGAAATGTGACAGTATGAATCTTCCAGTAAAACAGGAAGTCTCCCATTGTTGTCCAATTAGCATTAAGCACCTACTAAGTGCAAAAAAAGAGCATTTTATAAGCACATGCTAAGAAAAGGTCATATGAGCCTAGAGAAGAATGCAGCCACATGAAAGGGAAAGTCTTTATCAACCCTGCTGGGACCTTTGAGAATAGAAATGCCTTTTATTTACACCACTCAGTCTATGGCATTTTGCTGGGACAACCAGAGGTAGATCAATAAACAAGCTTTATATATGAAACTATGCTTGTTGTTCTCATATATATGAAACTACACACACACACACACACACACACACACACACACACACACACTGGTTACCATAAATACCACTGTTTCTTGATAGTCAATTACTTTTGCAGCTTAGAACTGTTATATGTATTTCAGTCTGCCTCAAAAATTGTTTTCTAGGGCTGGAGAGATGGCTCAGTAGTTCAGAGCACTGGCTGCTCTTGCAGAGGACCCAGGTTCAGTTCCTGGCACCCACATGGTGGCTAACAACTGTCTGCAATTCCAGTTCCAGAGGATTCAATGCCCTCCTCTGGCTTCCATGGGCATTGCATGAAACTGGTGCACCTACATACGTACATGAGCACTGCATGAAACAGGTGCACCTACATACATATACACATAATTTTTTTAATTTTAATTGTTTTCTAGAATTCTGATATCCTATCAAAAATACTTGAACATAGAGCTCGACGGAAACAGTTTTCAACTTTACATATAAAATACTTCATGAACAGTAGGTTCTCGTCTAGCCTCACTCTCTGGAAACACTGAGACAGTAGTCAGGCTTTCTCTCCTGCAGCTATCTTGGCAGGTGCTGGGCTTCTTAGGGTTTTTGAACCAGTGTTATAATCAGAATGACCTTACAACATCTCAGGGGCCTCCTGGACCTCCCACAGTAAATACATGAGCCAGGCAAGTGAGTTGTTCCAGCTCCTAAGGTCACCCTTCTACTCATACTCCAAGTCCTTAGTAAGGGTCTATAGAACGTCATAAGATCTGTTCCCTCCCTCACTGACAGTATCCTTCCTTATGCCATCTATCTTTATTCCCAATACACACAGCAGCTACCCTCCCCTCACTGTGCCTGGACTGCCAGAGCTCCCGGGTTAGGATCTCTGCACTGTTGCTCCCTGTATTACCTTCCAGATAGCTATATCACCAGCTTAGAAATCGACAGACCTGGAACTCACACCCAGAACGTTCTCATTCCGTGGTTTATGCTGTTTTTATCATGATAACCAGTCAAAAACTACCATTCTTACTATGTGATCCCTGTGTGTTGCTGTGCTTAATAGTTGGCAGTGTTCTCATGATATCAAAAATTCGCTTAACCACCTATGACTTCTTAAGCTATTAGGCCATGCCTTGAAAAAAAATGTTACATAGTGTAAACAACAAAATCAATGTTTATAAAAATCCAACTGCTTCCGTGAAGTTTTGCCTTCTAGGGATTAATAAATATTTTGTTAATGCCCATGCTCACCTTATCAGCCCCCGATACATGATGTATTCACACCACCTGTCATGATCAGTGCTGTCGATGTCCTATTTAAAGAGCAGAGACAAGACTATTTAAAACACAAAATTAATGCTGTATTTTTTGCCTGAAAAGAAAAAGAAAAAGGTGAACTAGAGTACAGACTATTTTCTCATAATAACTCCTACTGATTGTTCATGGGGAGAATTAGTCATTCATTCTAGACATGGCTTTTAAATATCTACTCTGTGTCCCTCTGAACTGGATGCTAGGAATACAGAGATGAAGGTGGTCTGTCAGCAGTAGCACTCTGGTCTCGCGTCCTACATCTTTCCAAGCCTATCATCCCCAGCAGAGCTGAGAACCTCTTCAGTCACCAATCAGCAGAGGCCAGGCTCTGAATACCAGCTACACCCGGTGCCACGGTTGCTTGGTCCTGGGTCTCCTCCCTGCCTTCCTGTTCAGAGGCACCCCCACCTACTTGAGCTGCCTGGTACTTAGCAAGACGCTCAGTGTTCACCAGGTATTAAGTCTATATTTGTTCAGTCGAATCATGGAAATAAATACATTCAAGAGTGATTAGGGTTCACTTGATGTCGAAGACGTAAAACCAGTTCAATTTTCAACAAAAGAGGAGAAGGGAATAGATTTTTTTCTTATAATATATTGGGAAAGCTATGAATATGGAGCTTTTAGGACAAAAGGAAAAAAGTCTCCATTTTCTTCCTTTTGAATACCCTATAAACAGAAATAAACATGACTTTTTACCACCTCTACATCTTACTATTAAAAATAATTTAAATATATTTTATATCACTAAAAGAATGCTCTACAATTTATTATTTACTTTTCTTTTCTGGACACATGGATGCTAGTCACTCTTTATTAGCATTTACACCTTTTACACACATTAGAAAATGTAAATAAACCTTAAAAATTAAGTTAAAAATTTAATAATGAGCCAGACATGGTCGCATATGACTTTAATCCCAGTACTTGGGAAGTAGAAGCAGGCAGATCTCTGTGAGTTTGAGGCCAGCCTGGTCTACATAGCAAGTTCCAGGCTAGTGAGACCCTGTATCAAAAGAAATTTAATAATGATAAAAAACAAACAAATAAAAGAAGCTGTATTCTGGTTTGCCTTGGGAAAGATAAAAATTTAATCATTTAGCTATATATACTGGGGACTAATAAACTATGAATCTGCTTAACTATTATTTTACTTTATTAGGTTTTTAAGCGATATTATAAAATTTTAAGACTAGAGAATTTAATTACTCATTTCTTAAAGAGAAAAAAATCTGTTCATCTAAGCAGATATGATTAACATTCCTCTCCACACCAATAAACTTTCTAGTACAAAAAGCAATCTCACACTCCATTGCCAGTCTTAGCACAGTTTTAACCATTGTACTAGAAGCCAGCAGAAGATCAAATGAAAAGCAGTTTGTGACCACTTGAGACACAGATAGCTGACATACCTGAGATTCTGACCCCCAGGTTTTTCTTTGACTCTTCTGAGCTCCCCCAGGCTCTTTCTGAGGCCTGCTGCCTTTTCTGACCATGACGTCTGTGACAACCACCATTTGGATATGATTTGAGTGAATCCTCCACATCCTCATGGGATAGAAGCTTTGTCTCCATTATGGCTATGCTGAGGTGTGGAAACTTTACAGGGCAGGGCCTAGTGCACAACGGTTAGGTCTAGGGAGAACCTCCTTCAGAAGGGATTAATACTGGTCACAGAATGAGTTACATTTTGCCAGAGCAGTTTGTCATAAAATGAGGCCACTCCCTGCACTTGGCCCTTCTGCATGTGGACATTTTTCTTCTCTCTCATCCACCATGTGGTGATGTGGCCAGGATGGCCTTCACCTGACACTGAGCAGACAGGGCAGCCTGATCTTACATTTCCAGCCTCCAAAACTGTGAGTCAAGCAAACTTTTTCTTTATAAACTACCCAGAGCCGGGTATTCTGTGTGGCAACACAGACCAGATCACAGAGCAGCTTCTTAGGTCTTCCTTCTGCCCTCTTGAACTCTGTAAGTAAGACTGCCCATTTCCATGGTTGGAAGAGTGCCTGTAACCTTGTTCCCTGTCTCCAGTTCTGGTTGCCTTCCTGAATTCCACACTATATATCTGCTTGCCAGTTGGACAGCTCCACTAGGCCCCACACATGCCTCAAACTCAGCCCACAACTGAGCTCATCATCTTTGCAATACTGTTCTTCCACATGTCTTATTTGTTTGTTTGTTTTTGAGATAGTTTCTCACTATGTAGCCCTGGATAGTCTGGACCTTGCTATGTAGACCAGGCTGGCCTTGAACTCACTGAGACTTGCCTGGTTCTGCCTTCCAAGTCCTGGGAGTAAAGCCATGTGCCACCATGCCCAGTGTGTCTTCTTTATAACAAATGTCATCATCACAAACCTCCTGACCACAGCCAAATGAGGAATCATGGCTCTACTTCTGCCTTGTTCATGAATGCAGAGACCCACTCATCTCCCAAAGCTGCCTTTCTAGATATGTATGTAACCATCAAGACTGATTAACTATGCCTCCAGCCTTCTACCTTGACATGTAGCCACATGGCTGAGTTCCAGTCCATGAAATGTAAATAGAAGAGTCAGTTTCCTGGAATTTACATCTAGAGATAACTTGCATACACTCCATCTTCCTAACTAGACTATGGGTGTTGTTTACATGATGGGACCATGGGAGTACAGCATGGGAGCAGAGGCCATGGAAATAGAGGCAATGGTACTGGAGGTCTGGTTGCATGCAGCCACAGCCAAGAAACAGCAATTCCAGATACTGTGGAGTGCCACACCAGTGCTGATTCTCCATCAAGATTTCCACATGAAGAAACATGCTTCTCTCTTATCCATGCCACTATCATTTGGGTTTTCTGTCACATGCAGAAAACCTTCATCACATCTGCTCTCTGTCATCTTTTCCAGTGCCGCATTCTAAGCGAGGTTAAAGTAGTAAGATCAATACAAGAGGCATAAGCCTTTTCTCTACAGACATTATCTCCAGATAAGAGGTTATAAACAAGACAATAAGGACCAAGAGATCTACATAACCTTAGTCAAATATAGCAATTGTGTTTCTCATTCTAAATTTATGTGTGTAGTGTGTAGTATTCTGGTATATGTATCAGTCTCTTGGGAATTTGATTTGCGTATCATTTCCTCAGAGCATGATTATGTCAGGGTAGACTGAATGAAGAATTGAAGAGTTTTAGACCAGGGAAGGGAAAGACTAATCCAGAGTCATTGTGAGGCCCTCTTGGGCCCATCAGCTGCTCTCTTACCTGATATTCCATTTTGTTTTTCACTCTCAGGAACATAGTTAACTTTTACAGTGTGGCAGATTGTATTTTCTAAGTACAGTTACAATAGAATCTCACTGTCCCTGTGGTATTCCCTTTTTATTTTATTTTATTTTATTTTATTTTATTTTATGTGTATGAGTGCATTGTCTGCATGTATGTAAGTGCACCTGTGTTGTGCAAGTCAGAAGAGGGTGTCAGAACCTTCTGGAACTGGAGTTATGGACAGTTGTTAGCCATCATGTAGGTGTTGGGAACTGAGCCTACATCCTCTGCAAGGGCAGGCAGTGCTCTTACCACTGAGCCATCACTCCAGACTGCCCTCCCCCATGGTATTCTTACCAGGTGACTTTGACATTTCTGTCACCAAGGAGTGAGGTTTGGTCTTTCAGGTGAAGGTGCTCTGACCTATGAAGACACCATTGGTGCTGTGTCACTTAGAAGGCAAGTCCTACAGGACAACCCATGCTCTCATCTTGGATACTCACTCTGGAACCCAGTCATCATGAAGGGAGGAAGCCCAATAGTCTATGCATAGGAGCCAGGTTCCCAAGCCCAAAGCACAGTCAACCACACAGGACAGCTTAGAGTGTCCTGAGGACCATCTCATTGACCCTGTATGAAACACAATTGATCAGTCTCCACTGAGCCCTGCCCATAGTGCATACTGGTAAGCAAGTACATGTACTCTGCTACTGGGCTGGGTTTTTTAAGCATGAAAAATTAAGAAGAATTTTACTTAATGGTTCAGAAATCCTATTAACATTATATTACCTTCACGTTGCCATGTTCTGTGAGTTGTAGGTAATCTCTGGAACCAGGTGCTGAGGTGATATATCCCAGAAATATCACTTTATTTGAGCAATTTTTTAATAGTTTAGAAACAGCAATAGCCTGCAGCTTCCTGTCAAGGTCATCTCTAAGAAATGCAAAAATAATGAAACTATTATATTTATAAAACAATATTTTTAAACATGTAACTAAATTCCCAAACAATATCTTCAAACAAGTTACAGACTCAGAGCAGTCTCTATCTGGGAAAATGTCTAAATGTTTTGCAATGAATGAGGCATTGACACAGAGCTTCAGTTGAATAGACTGACAGACTCTTGACTAGGAGAAAGCATGTTCTTTCTCCAGAAATCATTTGCGTCAAATTGATTTAAATATCTATTCTGGGGCTGAAGAAATGGTTCAGCAGTTAAGAGCACTTGCTGTTCTTACGGAGGACTAGAATTCGGTTCCCAGCACCCATGTCAAGCAGTTCCCAACTGTCTGTAACTCCATGGACATTCACAGTCAAATTCGCATACCCATACACAAGCATACACATGTTCACATAATTAAAAATAAAACAAATTTTTAAATATTTATTCTAAATACAGAATTTGTTCAACTTTCTTCACAATAAATCATGGCAGATATGGGGATATAGCTCAGTGGTAGAGTGCTTCCCTCATATGCAAAAGGCCCTTTCTATGTTCACTCTTCAGCACTACAAATAAAAATAAATACACAAATTAAGGAAGAAAGCATGGCAGTTATGTGAGACTTGGTCATCAGTACCATAACTAAAGAACTAGTAGCCAAATAAAGAGCCAGAAATACTGTTAAGAAGAGTCCTAACATTCACAGAACACCCCAGGCTTGTGTGACCTATACTGTCCCTTCAATGGAGTACTTTCTGAAAATCTCCTTGGCTATCTTGCCCAAATACTAGCTAGACATGTTGTTTTTATTATACTAACTACTGTAGATATAATACAGACAAACAAGCAGGGACCTCAAGCTTTTGAAGGGTTTAAAGTCTGAAAAAAAAAGAACATCATATTTTATATGATCCATCCAGGAAAATGGAAGCACCACAGATGTTTCAAATGGAGTGAGTTTAATATAGGGAATTGGGAAGCCAAACAGGGACAATCAGAGAACAAGGAGAAACTAACACCCTCTATACAGCTAGAGGATCGACAGGCAGAGGTGATATGACAGAGACAGAAGCCAGCACTGGCTAGTGGGAGATGGACTACAGCAGAGGCTTCCATGATGGAGCTGGGACCACCCAGGAAGGAGCTGCAGTGCAGGTGAGACTCAGCTGCTGCCAAAGACACCAGGGGAAGCACAGAGAAAGGATGAGAAACACTCTGGCTTTCCCCCTTTTCTTTCCTTCCAACCTTGTGCCTCTCATTGGCTAAATCCACCCAGAAAGCAGAAGGCAACGGACTTTGGAACGTGTCACCACTTACTAGGGATAGCCAAGGATAAGAGCAAGGAATGGATCCAAGAGTCAAAGCTCAGCAGGCATTTTCCTAGAAAGTTAGCCAGCAAGTGAGTATTAAGGAAAAGGGGACAAAGCAAGAAAGAGGGAGAGCACCAGGAACTGAGGAGATCCGAGAAACACTGCTGAAGGGGGCTCTGAAGACAGGGCTTGGCAGAATAAATACGTGTAGACACCCAGTTGTTTGGGAAAACATGAGGACAGAAAGGAATGCCATTTAGTGGCCTCGAATCCTAATAGTACAGCGATGTGTGGGCCCGTAAGAACAGAGAGTATGTCCTTCTGCAGTCTGGTTTAATGTGCTCTCCCCAGCACCTGTGAGTTCTGAGTTTGGTCTGACATCTTCCTAGCTTTATGGCCCCGGTTGGATACATCAACTAACCTCTTTCCACCTAACATCTTTATCTGTAAAATGGGGCCAATATGGCACTTAGCCTATGCAGCATAAAGATTAAATACAGTCACACATTTACCTGGAAAGCTACTGCACAAGTCCACAGTCGTGAGCTTATATAACCCCTATTACACTATACTCTGATACATTTCAAATGTACTGACTAGTACAACCAGACACACGGGGAAAATAAGATTTTTTAAAAATAGAAAGCAAGAAAAGTAATTTCATAGAAATCGAAGTAATATGTTAATAACATTTCTTGACATTTATACAATATTAAGTAAACCAAAGAAACCCACTCATGATTCCCAAAGTGTGTCACCACAAAATCCACCAGTGCGGCAGAGACATTAACAGTCAGGGTTATGGCTGGTGCAATCTCGCCCTCTGGTGATGGAAGAAGGTGATGTTCTGATTTCACAATTGGGTATCGTGACAACACCATAATCCTGCATAGAAATGAAAAACAGCCTCAGCATATCAGGCAGACAGGATGAAGGAAACGCAGGAAAACGTCATGTTTCGGGACAGCCATCCACTGAGGGACCCTCAGAGCAGGAATGCGGCAAGACTTCTATGGGAGTCTGCTGGTTCATTGCCTCTTCCTATTTGGTTTGTTTTACTGTATTACTGTGTGTGTCAGTAAATGCTATGGAGACAGGAAAAGGGCAGCATTGGCAAAACGAAAAGCCCTCTTCACTTGCATTACTACTCTGACAACATATACGTGCACCCAATTCTGTTATTATTCATGCTAATGATTAATTATGGGACTGTATCTGGTCAATTAGTACACAAAGTAATAATTTGCAAAACTAAACACCGTTCCAAAAACATGATAAAGGTGCCACCTCAAAGTCAAATAATATATAATTATATAATATTAGATCAATATTATAATCAATCAAATGAAAAATACTGTTATACATAATTATAAGGAGAAGCAGAACTCAGGAGCTCAGCCTGTCTGTCTTTCCTAGCTGCACACACTTTCTGCAGCTCTCCATGGAGTCTTTCAGGCAGGTCTGCCTCTACCACAATACCTAAAGGTCTATCTCCAGCCTGTCCTGCCTATTCAGCCCTCCAGACAATACACTGGAGATCACTTGACTGCCCCAGGGCATCTCCAACTTAACACATACATGTTGCTTTCCTGGGGGGTTCTCATTCATTAAAGGCATCTCCCACCAGGTATTAAGATCAAAACTCCACATGTCACCCTTGATTCTTTTCTTCCCCATCCCTGACATCTAAGCCATCAGTAAGTCCTGTCAGCTCTATTCCAAAATAGTTCTTTGTTTATTTTTTATTTTATGTGTATGATTGTATTGCCTACATGTATGTAAGTGCAACATGTGTGCAGTGCCCACAGGGGTCAGATGATGGTGTCAGATCCCCTGGAAATGGAGCTAGGGATAGTCGTTAGCCACCATATGGGTGCTGAGAACCGAACCCAGGTCCTCTGCAAGAGCAGTCAGAGCTCTCAGCCATGACCCATCTTTCTAGACCCCCAAAATAGTTCTTCACCCCACCCTCTTCTACATCCCGCTGTCACCTTCCTCACATGATACTGCACCCTCTTCATCACTGTCTCCTAGCCCTCACTCTTCTCAAAATGACCTTTTAAATTGCAATACAGATCAGAACACCTACCTTTAAAATCCTCCAGTGGCATTTGGGCACAGCTGGGTGAGGTGCCCTCTCTGGTCAGGCACTCTAGGTTGACTTCACTTCTTTTTTTTAAATTTTATTTATTATTTTTATTTTATGTGTATGTGTGTATTGCCTGCATGTAAGTAAGTGCACCCATGTCGTGCAATGCCCACAGAGGTCAGAAGAGGCTGACGAAACCCCTGGGACTGGAGTTACGGACAGTTGTTAGCTGCCATGTGGGTGCCGGGATTTGAACCTAGGTCTTCTGTAAGAACAACCAGTGTTCTTAACCGCTGAGCCATCTCTCTAGCCCCCTGACTTCACTTCTTACCAGCTTATCCTGAATTCTCTCACAATAAGTACCACCAGCTCCATCTCGCCTCCATGAAAGTAGCTGCTCCCTCAGTTCTTCCTGGGGCTCATGCTGGGTTCTTCTCAAAAATGACATCTTCAGAGAGACTCCCCAGGCTGCCTTGCCTTGCCTGGGCCACCAAACCGTGGGCAGTGCTCTCTCTCTCTCTCTCTCTCTCTCTCTCTCTCTCTCTCTCTCTCTCTCATTTTCTACACACATCATACTTACCAGAATCTCAAATTGTCTTATATTTCTTTGTGAACATGTTTATAGTTGTCCTTGAGTATCTACAGAGGATAGGTTCCATGATGCCCCACAAGTACAAAAATGTGTGCTTAAGTGTCATATAAAATCATGTCATGTTTGCATATGTTCTATACAGATCTTCCTAAGCACATCAAATGTATCTTTGGATTACTTATAGTATCTAACTTCATGCCCATACATTGCTTCATTCACATGGATTCAATTGAGAGTGGTAAATTTCATCTTACTTTTTTGAAACGTTCTTTTCTTAAGACTTATTTTTATTTGTGTGTGTGTGTGTACATAGGTGTGTGTTGGTGCACCCATCTGTGTCCACAGAGGCAAAAAGAGAGCATTTGGACAACAAGTGTTTGCATGCCCAGATTGTTATATATTTGCTGGGATCTGAGCTCTGGTCCTCGTGATTGTGCTGCAAGCACTCTTAACCATTGATCCATTTCTCTAGCCTCAGTTTTTGGAACTTTCTAGAATCTTTTTCAAATATGTTCTACCTCAAATTGGTTGAATCCAAGAGTGAAGAAGCTGAGGGCATGGAGAGCTAATAGTATTCTTGCTTTTTTGCATAAGAACATAAGCGACTGGAGAGTACCAGGGCGCATGGGCCTGACTCTGTAACCTCACTTCCACCTTTAAGGGCGGATCCCATATGGTGTAGAATTGTTCATATCCATCTGAGCCACTCTGAAAGCTGGTGTCAACGAATAGCACCAGTACCTCCCGACTTTCCATGTGGCAGCACTGGGGTATATTCACAGGACAGCCTCAACTTGCCACCCAGAGTCATGGCTGCTTACCCCCCTGGACCTGTGTACAGGGTTAATTCAAGGCCTACTCACCCCCAAGTGTGATCCCTGGTGCTTGGACCGAAGTCTGTATAGAAGCCCAACTTCTCCCCCAGCCACATAGTTAAGTCATTGTTCCCCATGTAAGGCTTAGAAGCATCACTCTCCAAAATTGTAATAAAATCTGCACCTGTTTGGGGGGGAAAAAGGCAAAAAGTACAGAGTAAGGAAACACAGTGAAGTACAAAGGAATCAGCAAAACTTCTAAAGCTTTTTTGTTGTTGTTGAAGCAGTGTTTCACTTTTGTAGCGTAGGCTGGCCTTGAACTCATGATCCTCCTGCCTCTACCTTCCAAGTGCTAGGATCAGAGATGTGTACACCATACCCAGTGAAACTTTATTCTTGACTGTAGCCTTTTCGTGTTTAGTCATAAACCCCAAAACAAAGTCATTCCTTAAGAGTAACAAACAGGAAGTGGTCCAAATTTGAGTTGTAAAGGAAGATTTCTGTGTTTGGAATTGAATTAAAATGTGGGAAGGAGAAAAGCAGGAGTTTTCTACATTTTCAAAATATTAACACTTTCAGAATTTTAAAAAATCTTAATGTCTTTCACAAATACCCAATTTATGTTTGGAAACAATAGACTGGTACATAATAGCCATTTATTTATTGCTATTTGTTTATTTATTTATTTATTTAGATATGGGGTCTCGTGTAGCCCAGGCTAGTCTCTTAATGACTTTGTAGCTGAGGGTGACCTTGAACTTCTGATTCTCTTGCCTCAGTCTCCAGAGTTCTGGGATTACAGGTGTGTGCATCATGCCCAGTTTGTTCAGTAGTGGGGATCAAATCCAGAGCTTTGTGTATGATAGGCAAACATTCTACCCACTAAGTTACATCTCCAACCCCACAATGGCATTTTATTTCAAGGCAAACAACTCCATTGGCATAAAAATGGGTTTGTTGGGACTGAAGAGATGGTTCAGCAGTTAAGAGCATTACTGCTCTTGCAAAAGACCCAGGATCAGTTCCCCACACCTACATAGTAGCTTGCAACTGTCTAGTTCCAAAGAATCCAATGCCCTCTTCTGGCTTCTAAGGGCACCAGGCATGTACATGGCACTCATACATACATGTAGGTAAGACACATATGCAAATAAGATAAATAAACCTTATAAAAATTAGTTTATTAGGGTATTTTAGACTTTGGCCTGATGTGCCTGAGGCTTCTAGCAAGACAAAATAAGGACTAAAAGCCAAGATAAAGCTTGAGTGGCACCAGGTTCATGACTCCACTCAGGCACTTCTCCAGGGGCATGCTTCACATGGGGACAATGAGATCCATTTAGCCCTTCACTATCTTGCTTGCACACTCCATAAAGCTGACTTAAGATCCAAATTCCCACAAGCTCTAGAATACTTCATCAAAAGCAGAACCCCCTAAGGGCACAGAGACAGATAAGACTGACTCTTGGGCTTTTTGAAAACAACTTTTTACCATCTGATATTTGACTCTTACTACTTTTTAATTCAATAGTTTTCTGGTCCCCACCAGAGGGTCCCAGGGTGGCAAGAGGTACCAGCAAGGAGCATCTCTAACAACAGGGGCCTGGCACAAACTTCATGCAGATACTCGGTGGGATGGGTTGTTCAGCATCAGTGAATTAATTGCTCTCAAAGACAACTGTGGTGTAGAAGCTTAGCCCTGAGCAGCCCATCAAAGCAAGGCCTCTTTAAGAGCCAAGTGCACAACCCAGCAAACCCTCCTCCTAAGACCTGGGGACTTGAGGAAAACAGGAAGACCAGTAGTTTCTCAAAACCCAAATCTAATTCCAGGAAGACTCACCTGTCTGCTCGAGCAACTGAGCTGACCTCTCTAGATTGGACCATCCCTCATTGTCATACCCGAACCGGAAAGGCCAGATGGCGGCAGTGACCACTTTTGCTGGTGCCTGTGGAATTGTTGAAATGGTACTTTAGGATAACTGTGATCAATGGGTATTGTTGGGGGGGGGGTCCCAGTCTTTTCTACCTCTCCCTATCAAAATTCATATTTCAGCAAAGGAATTTCCTTAGACATTTACCTATGTTTGATTCATAAAAATAAGTTGGAGCTTACCCTATGGTCCTCTCAAACTGTGAGGAAAGTATTTCTAATAAGCACTGTTTATAATAGCAAAATATTTAGAAACAACTTAGCTTTCTGCATAGGAAAAAGGACAAAAGTGTTGTTACATACATATAATAGAACATTACCTATCCCTAATAAATTAATCCCACAAAGGAAAAGGTAGAAACAAATTCAGTTACATACACATAACAGAGCCCTACATAACTGATGGTCTTAAGTAAAAATAAGTTGCAAAGTATATGTCAGATGTCATTTAAGTGGAATTAAAAACACAGAAACAACACTATTGTCCAGGGATCTATTTTTGTATAGTAAAAACGTAAAGAAATACATTTAAAAGTCTTTAAAAAAAAACACACACACACACACACACACGCACACACTTTACTCAGTGTTGCCTAAATGTGAAATGTCCCCATAGGCTCATGTGTTTGAACACTACATCCCCAGCTGGTGGGGCTGTTCTCGGAAGCTATGGAACCTTTTGGATATGTAGCCTTGATAGCAGAGGAAGGACTCTAGGGGCAGGGCTTATAGGTTTTTATATGCCACTATCTGCCCAGATGTAACAAGTCACAGAGTAAACTCTCTCCGCAACAGAAAGAGTCCCAACCACCACATATGTGTCCCCTGCCATGAAACTGAGCTGGAACAAATCCTTCTTCCTTCAAGTTGCTCTGTCAGATACTGTGTCCCAGCAACAAGAAAAGCAACTAATCCACTCCAGATAAGTTGTCCTTGTAGAAGAGAAAACTCAGAACAAAAAGATAAGTAGAGTTCTTAGTCACACTTACAAAGTGGCCAGCCTATTCTAACCTAGGCCTGGATGGTGCTACCCGCCAGCTGTACTGGGAGGGTCAACATTTAACGACACAGCCCTTCTAAAAGCTCTTCTTTCAGGTCTATAAGCTTGCCAAAGAATACACTACCCAACCCAAGCCATCCATCCAAAAGAATACCAACTAACCACAACTGGAAAACTCAACACAACTCATATGGGACCATACATGCTTGGGTCGCCACTTTATTGAGTAGGTTGGCATGCCTGTGCTGCCAGTCATGAGCTGAGCATTTCATCTTTACCTAGATTATGGGACACAGTGAATGTCATGAAAAGAGAATGAAACCATCACCAGAGATTTCCAGGGATGTGACTGCATTCATCAGGCTGTTCTTCCCCACACAACCATCCATCTATAATTAATTCTGCATTTCATCACTCCAAAACCTGTCACTTGTCTTCAGTCTTTCTTTTTAAAACTTTTTATTATTTATTTATTTTTATTTTATGTATATAAGTGTTTGCCTGCACGTAAGTGCTCTCATGCATGCAATGCCCATAGAAGGCAAAAGAAGGCATCAGATTCCCTTGAAACTGGAGTTAGAAATGATTGTTAGCCACTATGTGGGTGCTGGGAACTGAAGTTGGGTCCTCTGCAAGAGTAGCCAGTGCTCTTAACCACCGAGCCATCTCTCCAGCACCTCCTTCATTCTTTGTCTCAGTAAATGCCACCTCCCTCTGTCTGGGAGCTCAAGCCAAAGGTATAGATACCATCCTTGAGTCCTTCCTTTTTCTCATCTATTATTGGCCAACCCTGTTAGCTCTATTTTTAGAATGCAGTCTAAGTCCCTCCACTTCTCAGTGCCACATCAGTCAGCATCCCTATCACCTCTCTCTTGAATCACACAAACATCTCAGGCCTCCTCTTTCTGCTCTGCTTTTATCCTCCTATAATCTTCAGTCCCACATCAGCCAAGTTCACAGCTATCATTTCTTCAAATCCTACTTGAGGGGCTGGGGAGTTGGCTCAGCAGTCAAGAGCATTGGTTGCACTTTCAGAGTACTGGGGTTCAATTCCCAGCACCCATATGGTAGCTATCAACTCTCTGTACCTCCAGTTCCAAGGGAATCCGATGCCCTCTTCTGACCTCCATGGACATTGCATGACACAGGTGAACTTACATACATGCATACATGCTACTTGAGATTATATACATACATCCTACTTGAAATGTTTCACTGTGGCTTCCTCTGGGAGTAAAAGAAAACAGACACTCCTCACTGTGGTCGGTGAGGCCCTGGGTGATGCCGACCTCCCCAGCCTCTCTAATCGCATTTTCCACCACTCCAGTGTCTCAGTTGTGCAGGTCACTCTGATGCCTTTCAGTCACTCCAAGCTGCTTCTCTCTCAGCCCTTTATACGTGCTTCCTCTATCTGAACCCTAGCTTTCTGAATAATGGACTTTTGCTCAACTTTCAAGTCTCATTTCAAATGCCAGCCTCTCAAACTCTAACTTCCCACTCCACAATCCTGCTTCCTGAAGAGCCACCTGGCCTAAAGCCATAGCCTTTCTTCATTTGTTTTCATGAATACTGTCTGTCTGTAGTAGAGTGTGGGGATGGGGGTTGGAGTAGAGATCTTGTCCATCTTTTCTCATGTATCCCTGGCACCAGGCACATCAAGAGGCATTCAATAAACACTTGCCAAATAAATGTATGAATTAATTAATTAATTAATTAATGAACAAGCAATAAATCAAAATCAAGCAACTCCCTTTAAAAAGAACATTTGGCTGACATCAGATAGCCTCTTCACATGGACATTATATTGGATGGTAAGACCAATAAGAAAAGAGCCTCCAAAGGGAGTCTGGGTAATGGTTTGTAATTTTCTACTTAAGAATAGTTACTGGGATTCAATTCCTGGCACTGCTGAAGGGGAAGGAGAGCAGGAAAGAAGAAAGAGAGAGACAGGCAGAGAGGACAAGAGGAGGAAGAGGAGGAGGAGGAAGAGAGAGAGAGAGAGAGAGAGGCTATGAAACACTATTTGCCAAACCTTTACTGAGTACAGAAATGAAGCAGAGAAACATGGTCTCCATCCTCTGTATAGCTTTTTATTTGATGTGAAAATGTTTCCCCAGTATTACCAAGTACTAAAATTCAGTGAGAATTCTCAAATTCCATTTTATCTCAAACTATACTCTGACTGCACTATGAAACACAATAATCTTTTACCAGAGCAGAAAGAAAACACAACATTGTAATGGTTCACTTTTGCTTCTGTCTCTTTCAGAATAAGGAATACCAAAACATTTAGAATTACAGAAAGCAAGCAGTATCTACAGTACGTCAATATACAAGACACTCATAATTTGCAAAATCAAGATTTGTTTGTCAGATTTCCCTTGAATCAAAGAATCTTATATTCACATCTTCAGCAATATATACCCATTATAAAATACTTCTTTATTTTATAATTTCATATTAAATCATGAATGGAAAAATAACTCTCTATATCAAAAGCATGAGCAAGTTGCCCTTATTACATGGGTCTATCCTGGCTCAGAACCCAATTTCATAAATAAGTCCAATATACAATCCACCTAAGATCTAAAGCAATGGGACCCATGGTCCTAAAGTCCAACCTAGGTCTAGCATTATATCAGAACAGTGATGTCCAAAATGCAATGGAATCCATCAGTGGAGCGAAGAGAGTCTCCACAGTGGGAGAGAGTCTTTGTCAGCTATACATGTGACAGGGGATTAGTATCTAGAATATATAAAGAAGTTCAAAAAGTTAACTCAAAATCAAATCATTCCATCAATAAATGGGCTAATGAGTTGAACAAATAGTTCTTAAAAGAAGAAATACAAATAGCCAAAAAATATATGGGAAAATGTTCAACATGCTTAGCCATCAGGATAATATAAATCAAAATTACATTAAGAGTCTATCTCACCCTTGTGAGGATGGCTATTGTCCAGAAAATAAGTGACCACCAATGTTGGGAATGAGAAACCCTTACACAGTACTCATGGGAATGTAACCTTGTGCAGCCACTTACAGAAGTCAGTATAGAGAGTCCTCACACAACTGAAACCATAAGTACCGTGCAATCTAGCTCTTCTGCTTCTCGATATATACCTGAAGGAATCTGAGCTAGCACACCTCAGAGATAAACACACATCCATGTCACACTGCTCTCAACAGTCAAGATTTGGAGCCAGCTGGGATGACCATCGACAGATTAATGGGTAAAGAAAATGTCACACAAATGGGCCGGGTGTGGTGGCACATGCCTTTAATCCCAGCACTTGGGAGGCAGAGGCAGGTGGATCTCTGTGAGTTTGAGGCCAGCCTGGTCTACATAGCAAGTTCCAGGACAGCTGGGGCTACAAGAGATCGTGTCTCACTCAAAAGACCAAAAAAAAAAAAAAAAAAAAAAAAAAAAAAAAAAGAAGAAGAAGAAGTCACACATATACACAATGGAGTTTCATTCAATCTTAAAAAAGAATGAAATTACATCATTTGCAAGAAAATGGATGGACCTGGAGGTTATTATATTAAGTGAAATAAGCTAGACTCAGAAAGACTAATATTTCATGTTTTCTCCCATATGCAGAATCTAAACATATACATCTGTATGATATAAAAGTAGAAGGTTGGGACTAAGTGGGAAGGAAGGCAGGAAAAGGGGGAGAGAGGGAGATGAAAATGAGTTATGGAGTAAACATGTATGCGATATGTATGTAAGAAATTTTCACAATGAAACCTATTATTTTGTATGAAAACATTTTAGCAAAAGAGAGACAAATAGAGAAAAGAAACCAAGTGACAAAACTTGGCCAAGTAGATAGTTTAAAACAAAATAGTGATGGGTAAATATATACATCATATAAAATTCTATTTCGAAAGTGTTAATTACTTACCCCTTTGCCCAATTTCCTCTCATAGGTTTTATGCCGTAATCCTAATCCTAACAACCCCAGTCCAACAAGCAGCCACAAAACTAAACAGAAAGAAGAAAAGATTGTTTAAAAGAAACTAAAATTACTTTGAAAACAACTTTTTCAGAATTACCATATCAATAGATCAAGGAATTTGTGTGAATGTCTGATTCTTGGATTAATTTTCATGTGTGATATGCATATATAACCCGTACTTTAAACTCACGCTTTCAAAGAATATTCCCTGAAAATGTTCCAAGGACTATGAATATAAGTAAAAACAAATTATAAAATATATAAGAAAACAGATCTCTGTAGACAAGAATTAACAAGAAAAGACAGCCTACAAAACCAAGCTCACAAAGACTTCAGATGTGGGAAATTTAAGTCAGAAACTGAAGTGTGCGTACCTAGCATGTTTAAAGAGAAGGGCAGGCGAAAGAGGGACTAAGGAATAGAAGCAATCAAGAAAGTTTGTGAAATCAAAAATATATAATTATAATGAGTGAGATAAAAAAATTTGGTGGGCAAGATGAAAAGCAGATTAGACACAGCTTAAAGGAGAATTATGCAAAAAAGTCACACAAAAACAGAGGTAAGAAAGAGGCCAGCAAGATGGCTCAATGGGCAAAGGTGCTTGGAGCCAAGCCTGAGGACCCGAGTTCAAGCCCCAGGACCCACATGGTGGAAGGAAAGAACTAACTTCCAAAAGTTGTCTCCGACCTCTACAGGAGCAAAAAGTGTGTACACACACACATACACACATACAAAGTAAAGTAAAATGTAATTAAAATTTTAAAAACAGGTACTGAAGAGATGGTTCAGCGATTAAGAGCACTTGTTCATGCAAAAGAGCCGGGTTCAGTTCCCACTAACCATATGCTAACAACCTTCCATAAGGCCAGTTCCAGGGGCATCTGTCACTCTCTTCTGGCCTCTGTGGGCACTGCATACATGTGGTACACATATATTCAGGCAAAACACATGCGTAAAATAAAAATGAAATTCAAAAAAATTTTTAATAGGCAGGAAAAGTGAAATTAGTTAACAACAGACATGGAGAACAGAGTAAGAAGGTCCAATAGGCAACTAATTGGAGTCAAAAAGGAAGGAGGGGAAAGAATGAGAAAGCCCCTGAGGGAAACAACGTTGGGAGGCTCCCAGAAACGACAAACTCATCACTCCTTAGAGTGGAAAAGCCCAAAGACTCCCAAGCAGGATGAGGAAAACCTCCACTTCCAAATATACCACAGAGACTCTGTGGACTACCAAGCAAATGGAGAAAAGCTCAGTTTAAAGCTGACCTTTTCAAGGTATGATGAGACATGCACAGCAGGTTTTATAAAATTGCACTGTTCTCTGTGTCATATCATTTAGAAATATTTTTAAAATCTACATAGTTTCAATTGTTGTCTATCTCTTTACATACATTATTTTGTATCCTTTAGTAAGATACCACATCCTGTATCTAGTGTTCTATCTCTCTGTAGCCTGCATAATAGTCACCTAATCTATGCATGGCATACTTTCAATAAATACTTATATTTAAAGCTGGGTGGCATGCACCTTTAATCCCAGCACTCAGGAGGCAGAGGCAGGCAGATCTCCATGAACTCGAGGTCAACCTAGTCTACATAGAGTTCCAGACCAGCTGGGGCTACAGGAAGACCCTGTAGCAATAAATAAATAAATAAATAAATAAATAAATAAATAAATAAATAAATAAATATAATAAATAAATATTTGTATTTAAAAGAAAAAGAAGGAACACTTAAAATTCTTTTTATGAAGCCAATATTACTTAGATGCCAAAACCAGTCTAAGGTCATAAAATACACAGGACTGAAGAGATGGCTCAGTGGTTAAGAGCACTAGCTGTTCTTGCAGAAGACCTAGGTTCAAATCCCAGCACCCACATGATAGCTAACAACCATCTGTAACTCCAGTTCCAGGGAATCCAAGGCCTTCTTCTGTCCTCTGCAGGCACTGCACAACACAGGTGTACTTACACACATGCAAGCAATACACTCATACACATAAAAAATAATAAATAAAAATTTAAAAAATAGGATACATGCTCTCAATTATCAGAAGAGAGTATTTCAGAAATTCTACCTGCTAAATCATCTTATCTGTTAGAAGTGAAATAAAACTCTACAGGGTATTTATGATTGAATGCCACCATATCAGGGATTTACTTTAATGTGTTTAAACAAACATAAAAAGGTAGGAAGGCAGCTGGTACCAAACTGCCACAGCTAGGTGAAGGGTGCCGGAGGTTTCATGGTACTCTTTAATTTCATGTTTGAAAATATATACAATAAAAATTTGTTTAAAAGATAGTTAAAACTGAACTTACGAAGATTCATGTATTTTTTACTCTTTCTAAAAAGCACTTTAGGACTGTTTTTTGTTTGAAGAAGAAAATCAAGATTTTTCTTAGGTCCAAACAGCATACTCAGTCCAATAACTACCACCATGGTCCCTGTTGGGAGAGAAAGGAGGAGGAATCAGGCTACAGCTCAGTGCCTAGCGCACATGAGGCCCTAGGTTCAGTCATTAATATCACAGAAAAAAATTTATTTAAGAGTGAGATCGGAGCTAGAGAGATGGCTCAGAAGTTGAGTGCTTACTGCTCTTTCAGAGGTTATGGGTTTTGTCCCCAGCACCCACATCAGGCAGCTCACAAGTGCCTGTAACTCTAGTTCCAGGGCATCCAGCATCCTCTTCTAGCCTCACGGGCACCTGTATACATGTGGTACACATAAACCCATTCAGGTACACACATGCATACACACAATAAATAAATAGATAAATCTTATTTTAAAAGAATAGGGGAAAAACACTATGATTTAATCCAGCAGTCCTTCCAAGGGCATATTCTAGGAGCCAAGATTTCTTTTCAATAAACATATCTTGGTAATTCTGAGTTAATTTATCTCAGTGCTTTCCATGTAGTAACAATCAGAAGAAACAAGGTGGGGGGACGGGGCCTCTAGGAATCATGCTGGAAGCAGAATGACCCCAGCCTTTTCCTGATGAGGTATGTCTTTGAATTTCCCCTTTCCTCCTGGTGAGGCTGCTGGTGGTGTTTGCCACTGACTGTTGAATGAGCAGGAGAAAACAGACCACAAGAGAAAGGAACCCCTGAGCTGAAGAGAGACTCAGTCTGTCACCGAAACACCTTTACATGCAGCAAGCTGAGGCACACAGTGGCACACATGGGAGGGCCTGATGGGGCAGTGCTTGTCACAGGAACTGTGCCCTGGGCTGTGGGCACTCTGAACGCCAGTCCTGGCAGAGGTTGCACTCCAGAACTCACAGTGTGTCAGCGGGGCAGCTGACAGCATTATGCTAAATTGGGATGCACTGCAAAGTAGCTGCATACACTCTACACACTTCGAAAGTGATGCATAGATAGGGTATGATATGGAAACCAGGAAATGTCAGTGACAAGTGAAGTTTAGGTAAAAGGTTAACAAAAGAAAGTTATGTTTAATTTTCCAGGAAAGAGCAAGCAAAAGCTTGAGAATAAATTTATACTTATTTCTGATAGCATACAGAATCTTTTCCATCCAGTTAAATGAATAGCTACTCAACTTTCCCAACATTCCTTGCCTTGTTACTATAATGCCACTCTTACTGAAGAAAGTTCTTATTTATATGAAGATGTAATTATGAATGACTCTGCAGTCCCCAAAAACTCTTCATGCATCACACTCTAAAAACAAAGCCAGGCACAGCACGGTTCTTACTTTCTTTCACTGGTTTTCTTCACCCTAAGCAAGCTGGAGAAAGAAAAACGCAGGACATTGAACAGGAGAGGAGAGGTAGACAGGGCAGAGCAGACCCACCTGAAAGAAACCAGAATACAAAGTCTGCAAAGCCAGGTAACCACAGAGGAAACGCTGCGAAGTGTGCCTCTAAGGAGGTGAGAACTTAAGCGCCACTGGAGATAGCAAATTCTCAAGGCTGTTTGTCAAACCCTAACATCTTCCCAAACAGTCAGTCCTGACAGACATCTAGCTCCTGGGGTAGGAAAGTGGACATGATGATGTAGGGAGGCTGGAGAACTGTGAGGGAAGGGCAGTAGAAGCCACGCCCTCGCATGAGTCACTCACCCTCCGGAAATTTCCTAAGGATTTGTTTCATTGATGTGTGGTGCCCTTCCTACCAAGGAGGTTCCAGGTGGGCAGGGACATCACGTGCTTTTCATCTCCAGCACCTGGCACTTTGCCAGGGGCACGGCAAGTATGTGATAATTATATAAAACTAAATGAGCAACGTAAACACAAAAGCATGGACAAGCAGGAATCAGATGCCACACTAGCGCACACTTGCTGCCTCATTTTCCAAGATTTTATTGTGGAAGGATTTGGCAAGCTTTATTTAAACTATTGATAGCTGATCACTGCTGGGTGAGGGAGAGTTGGTCTTCTTTAATGGAGTAATGCTAGATGGGCTGACCAGGCTCCAGTGGATAAATTCACCCTGAGGGGCGTATGGGGACACAAACTTGACTAGTTAGACCTTAACATATATGACAGAATACATGAAATTGGGGGGCGGGTGCTAAATGGAAGGGCTCAGGTAGGGGAGGGAGTCTAAATATGATTAAGAAGCAGTGTATGCACAAATATCCAATAAAAAGCATTGTATGAAAAAATAAAAAATAAAAAATTTAAAAAACAAAAAAACTTCTAAATGATAGCCCCGAGTCTAATGACTCAGACTGTATCCCACTATGTAGCCTGGTTTACATAATGAACTCCAAACCAGCCCAGGCTACTACAAAGGCAGACCCTGTTACAAAGAAAAAAGAGAGAGAGAGAGATTGATAATAATGGATTTGGGCATAGCTGATATAAATCGGTAAATTTCATTTTTCCATAAAATAATTTTTAAGGTATTAAAATGAACTTTATGAAAGTTTAATTTTGGTGAGTTTATAACCATTGTACTTTACACTTACACTTTATTATGATTTGAACATTTTTCTCAACTCATTTTAAAGGTCTGTAGAGTAATAAACATTATGGAAGTGCACTTAATTTGAAAAACAAATAACAAAATTTATTTTTAATTACAATTTAGACATTCTTCTAGACTTTTCTTTTGTCTTTATCAAGAGTCCATCTTACTAGGAAAGTGCAATTGTCCTATGTATTTCCAGCAGTCATGTGAAGTGCTAAATCCTGGCCAGTCCTCAGGATTTCTGGTAGTTTCTTTACCCCGATCGTTAGAAGTACTTACCCAGAAGCACATCAGATCTTTCTCTAGCGTAGACACCCCCAGGGACAAACTTAAAAGCTGTGCACCACGCACAGAAAAATACTTCTAGAAGATAAACTATCATGGCGGTGGCCATGGTTTCCCCGGGGCTTGTTCCTGAGCTCACAAGGTGTCCAAGCATGTGAGGCCACACGGACCCAGTAAAGACAGCTAATACACAGCCGGAAACAGCAGCTGCCCATGTGCGCAGGTAAAGGAGACCCATGGCCGAGGCTGCTCCTGTTTGAAAAGACCAAAGAAGAAAAGAGGCTGTGTCAGGCAGAACAGCAAAGTTCATGGGATGGCCAGTTCAGAGCTGGTGAGAACCAGAAAGGACCTCAGGAGATTACTGGTTCAGTCTCAACTCAGAAGCAAACCAGGTGCAGCAAGGTTAACCTGATCTGCTCAAGGTCACAGCCCAGTCTCTGGCACAACTGAAGTGGAATGCAGTCTAGTAAATCTCAGGCCAATGCAAGTTCTTTAGGAACGGTAGGTGTGTGTGTGTGTGTGTGTGTGTGTGTGTGTGTGTGTGTGATTTCTTGAATGTTTTTGTTAAGGCACTTTCTAAAGTAATTTCTGCTCATTTAAATGAAACATATAGGACCAGAATGATGGCTCAGTGACTAAGAGCACTGGCTGCTCTTGCAGAGGACCCGGATTCAGTTCCCAGGACCCAAGGGTAGCTAACAACTGTTCATAACTCCAGCCCCAGGGAATCTGATACCCTGTTTTGGCCTCTGTGGTCATTGCATGCACATGATGCACTTACATGCATGCAGGCAAAACACTCATATACATAAAATAAAATTTTTAAACAAATAAAAATAAATAAATAAATGCAATGTATGTATGCCTACTTCTCTAAACACATGGATTCAAGAGAAGGTGTGAGATCAGGACACGGACTTGCTGCCTAAGCAACTGCAGTCTGTTCATTCGCAATCCACAGCCTGCCAGGTATTGGGCTGTGGGTTCTCCCTGGTCCACTGCAGGCTGCAGAGCCAACACTGAGCTCATAGAACCTTCCTAAAAATCCCTGTGAAATCATCTCTGAACCACATATACAAGGCTTTACATAGTCAATACAGCATTTTTTAAAAAACATTGTTTAGGATCCATCCTTCAAGGTGTCTATAGCACACATTCAATTATTTGGAGCAAGAGTTTCTGAAAGGATTGCAGAGCAAAAAAGTGGCCTGAACCAGCTTCTGAAAGCCCAATAGTTCAAATCCATCACAACTCCAGGGTGATTCCTTGTGACCATCCTTTCCTTCCTCCTTCAAAAAGAGCATCACTCAGCTAAACACAAGAGCCACAGTTTAACTTCATAGTGAGACCTTCCAATACTTACATTCTGCAATGGTGAATTCCCATGTTGAAATACAACTAATGCAGTACTACAAGGAATGTTTTAATACAGAACTAAAAAAAGTAATAAACAATTGCCTAAGGCTTACGTGACTACAGCCAATATGGTCACGCATCACTTAACAACGTGGGTACATTCTGAGAAACACACCACTAGCAATTCCATCATAGAATGTGCTTACACAGTCCATGGTGCAGCCAGACACATATCTTCCTTATATGGTATATATAAACTTGTACTATGCATTGCTGCACTGAACACTATAGACAACTGTAACCCAGTGGTAAATGCTGTGGATCTAAACATGCCTAAACCTAGGAACAGCACAATGCAGTAAAACTATCAGGTATTAGGGACTCTGTTGCACCATTATTTTTTTTACGTTTACTTAATTAATTATTGTGGGGAGGTGCATGTGCCATGGGACGTGTTTTGAGGTCAGAGGACAACTTGGGGGAGTCAGTTCTTTCATTCTGCTGTGTAAGTCCTTGGAATCAAACCAAGGTCATCAGATGTGAGGGTAAATGCCTTTACCATTGAGTCATTTCATTGGCCCTTGTAGTTCCATTATAATCTTATAGGACCACTATTAAATATAAGGCACATGACTGATCAAAATATTATATGAAAGATGACTTACTTTTATGTATTTGCCCTAAGGCTTTTCCTACTTAAGTATTAGAAGTATTTTTACATGAATGAAATTATATCACCATATTAAGGCTTATATACTACTGTGTATGTGTATACACACGTGTGTGTGTGTGTGTGTGTGTGTGTGTGCCGTATATGGGGGGCATGTATACGGAAGTGCATATGAACACGCATGTGTGTGTTTGTAGAAGTCAGAGGTCATCATCAGGTGTCTTCTTTGTTTACTCTCCACATTATTTTTTGAGGCAGGGTCTCTTAATGAACCTGGAGCTCACTGATTTGGCTAGACGGGCTGGTCAGGGGACCTCAGAGATCCTCCTGTCTCCATGCTCCCAGCACTCAGGTTACAGATGCACACCACCACACCTAGATTTTGGGTGAGTGCTGGGATCTAACTCAGGTCCTCATGCTTGCACAGCAAGTACTTTATCCACTGAGCCAACTCCTCAGTCCCTAAATGCTGCTTTTTATGTGATGTTATATGCAGAATATTTTTCATTATTAGTTTCATTCTAAAACATCTTATGTATAATAATATTCCACTAGATAAATGTACCAGAATACATGTAATCATTTTCTTACTGTTGGGCATTCATGAAATCTCCGGTGTCAAGCTTTTAAAAACATCAGTGTGATGCAAATCTTTTTCTGTCAGTAAATCTTTCACCACATCTTTTATATCCTTAAAATGAAATACCCTGTAAAGCCTCTGTCAAAAGGACAAACATTTTAAAGTAATTACTTGTGGTCAAGCACTTCCCTGAAAGTTATTTCCACCTCCGGAAAACTCACCGAAATCTCCACACCTTTGAAATCCTGCCAAAATCATCTTTCTAAAAACTCTTCATCAAATTAATGATGAAAATGAAAATGGTATGACTTTTTTTTTTTTTTTGTCTTTTTGAGACAGGGTCTCCCTGTAGCCCCAGCTGTCCTGGAACTCACTATATAGACCAGACTGGCCTTGAACTCACAGAGATCCGCCTGCCTCTGCCTCCCAAGTGCTGGGATTAAAGGCAAAACCGCTCTTCTCTGATTATTAACACTGAATTCCTCTTGTTTAATAACTTACAACTATTTTTAAAAGGATGAGCTCAAATTTGTTTTAAAAATATTAGAATTACTTTGTTATCTTTGTATTACTACAGAGAATTACCTGGAAGGAAAGAAAACCTCTTGTTAAAGTTCCCTGGACTGTCATTGCTTTAATTTCTAATTTAGTTCCTATTTTAAAATGAACTCTACAATTTTTTTGAGACAGGGTCTCACCATGTAGCACTGGTTACTCTGGAACTTGCCATATGGGCCAGGCTGGCCTCAAACTCATAGAGATCTGCCTGCTTCTGCCTCCTGAGTGCTGAGATTACAGACTAGCACCATCACACCTGGCCAGGCTCAACATTTTTAATCTGAAATTTATGTTTAAGTAGGTTCCATGTTCTAAGCCCAACAAAAATGGTATAAAATATATAACCAATATAAGGGTTTTGTTATAACTTTAATTTTACTAATTTACAGAAGGGGTCTTTTGACTCCTGCCATTACTGTGTGCCTTTAGGGAAGACAGCCAATGTAAGTATTTATTTCTGCATCTTTCTAGAGAGACTTTATGTATGTAAAAAAGTGCATGCATGTACATTTCCCTCCGTTTTTGTATACTAGTGGTAGCACACAGTACATACTGCTAATGTACCATTTGGCCTTTTTCACTCAATTGTATACTTTGTAGTGTTTGTTTGTTTGTTTGTTTGTGACTAAGCTCTTTCAAAAAATCTCCTCTAAATCTTTACATATAAAACTTCAAGTAGAAAACATGGTAGCTGATAGTCCAGTAACAAGCATAGGAACTGCTGTAATTTGAATATAAAGCACCTCCCCCATGCACCCATGTGTTTGAATGTTTGGTCCCTGTTCTGGTTTGTTTCTCATTGCTGTGACAAAATACTCTGACCAATAACAACTTGGGGAGGAAAGGGTTTATTCAGCTTACATCTCCCAGGTCATAGTTCATCAGGGAGCCCAAGGTAGGAACTCAGGGCAGGAACCTGGAAGCAGGAGCTGGAGCACAGGCCATGGAGGAACACTGCTTACTGGCTTTTTCCCTTGGCCCCCTCTCTGGCTGCTTTCTTATGCAACACAGGCCCACCTGCCCAGGGGTGGCACCACCCACAGTGGGCTGGGCCCTCCCACTTTACCCATCAAGAAGATGCCCCTCAGACATGGCCACAGGCCAGTCCAATAGAGGCAATCCCCCAATTGAGGCTCTCTCAACCCAGGTGTGTCAAGTTGACACTAAAGCTATCCAGCACAGTCCCCAGTGGTGGCACTGTTTAGGCAGGTTGTAGAACCTTTAGGAGATGGAGCCTTGCTGGGGGAAGTATGTCACTGGGAGCACGCTTTGAGGTTTTGCACCTGGCCCCACTTCCTATTCCCTCTAAGTTTCTGGACTGCTGCTGCGGCATGTCGACTGCACCATGATGGATTCTGTCCGTCTGGATGTGTGAGCCAAAATAAACCCTTTCTTCCCTAAGTTGCTTTTGTCATAGTATTTTATCACAGCAACAAAAAAAAAAAAAAAAAAAAAGAGACTAGGACAAGAACTACGTGTTTTTAGTAGATCAATTTATTCATATGAAAATACACGTGAAGTGTTTAGTACCCTGGAGTCCTATCCCTGTGTTGCTACATCTGTCATTTTTTTACCTATATGATTTGGAGTTTACTAGTTTAATTGCTATAAAAATGTGCTTTTGTTTTTGAGACAGAAGCTCAAGTATCCCAGGCTAGCCTTGAACTCACTGTATAATCGATGACCTTAAACTTCTAGTCCTACTGCCTCCACCTCCTGAGTGCTGACATTACCAAATACCGATAATGCTGACATTATCTAGTGGGAGCTAGAACCCAGGGCTTTTGCATATTAGGGAACCATACTACCAACTGAGCCATACCCCTAGCCTTATTGCTATCAAATTTTAAAGCTCCTATATCCTTGTTTTTGTTTTGGTGTGGCTTGGTTTTTTTTGGGGGGGGTGTTCTCCCTGTAGCCCCAGCTGGCCCGAAACTCACTGTGTGGACCAGGCTGGCCTTGAATTCACACAGATCCACCTGCCTCTGCCTCCCGAGTGCTGGGACTAAAGGGATGTGCCACCAAGCCCAGCTTATATTCTTGTTTTTATGAAGTTCCTTGGTTAGTGCCATAATTAATTTCACAGGAGTCCTCAGTTGGGGTTGTAAACTTAGAACTAAAATGGAAAAATGCTTTTAGCTATCAAGGGGTTTCCAGAGATGCATCACAGCAGAACACAGGCACTGTCTCTAGATCATTAAGGGTGAGCTCTGGCTTACTTCAGATGAGCAAGAGATCAGAAAAGAGATGGAGCTCATCAAGCATGCCCTGGTTTTCTCCCCTGCAAATAGCCAATTCCAAGTCTTAAATCTGTTTACCTTCGGAGTCTTTAAAATTACTATTTAATGCTGCTGCAGAGTAGCAGCAAAAATAGATGATCTAATTTAAGTCTCAAGAATGTGACTTAACTTACCTGGGGAATTAAGTATCAAACTAGTTTTCCTTTTCTTTAACAGCTTATATTTCTGTATCCCTATTATTCTGGGTTTAAAATGAAACTGTTAATTATCTGCATAATAAGCAAAGTCCTATATTCCATAAGAAAAGGCATGTCAGCCCAGGCATGGCAGTGACTGCCTTTAATCCCAGCACTTGAGAGAGACAGGGGCAGGCAGATCTCTGTGAGATTGAGGCCAGTCTGGGCTACATGAGTTCCAGGCCAGCTGGGGCTGAGGCTACAGGGAGTCCCCCTCACAAAAAACCTAAAAATAAATAAATAAAGGAAGAAAGAAAAGGAAAGACATGTAATGGGCTCAGTGGGCAAAGGCATCTGCCACCAAGCCTGTTGATCTGAGTTCTATCTATTGGACCCACATGATAGAAGGAAAAAACTGGCTTTCACGGGCTTCCTCTGACCACATGCTGTGGCAAACAATGCATGCACCCCCCCGACACACACACACACACACACACACACACACACACACACACACAAGCACAGTAGAAATAAATAAAAATGTGATAATTTTTAAAAGATTATTATAATCTTTTATTATAATGCTGAATGAATTTCGATGCATTTCATTTTCCTTTTCCAAACTACACACATTAAGATGCTGTCTATGTAGTTTGCAAGCTCAGTGTTAATGCAGTGATCTGGTCTTTTTCCTCCAGAATCTCTCGAAGCACTTCCCTGATGAGATGAGAGGCTGCTCTTATCTACACACAAACCTCCAGACTCCAGATGGAATTCCCCTCAGAAAACACACAATGGAGCAAAAGCAATCCAAAACAACTGCAAGTTTGCTCATACAACTCTTAAAGGAAGAGGACCCAGCCAACCTATTAATTTCACAGAATTTTTTAATTGCATACACATTTCCATGCAAATGGATGGTGCTTAAGCTATGTAGAAACTTACTATGTTTTTCATCCCACATCTTACTGATAAAATCTCAACATCTAGGGCAACACTCTGACTCTCCTGCTTAATCAATATGTACAAGAACATGTCTTCTCACAGACCAAATACAGTATTTGCTCTATGAAAGAGAACTTGTTTTACTTAATGTCAGTAATGACTACTGAAAACCATTTCTGCCTTTTAAGTGGAGGGTAAGTGGCATGCTTCAGGAAAAGAATATAACACTCGTTCATGCTCAAAAAGTCTCATGGGAGAAGGAAAAGGGAGAGCCCAAAATATGATCCCCTTTACCAGTTATTTCTAGGATGCTGAAGGGTGGGAGTAGAAAGAAATCATACAGGCCTTTGAAAAAGCAAACATGAAGGGGGGCTGGAGAGCTGGCTCAGAGGTTAAGAGCACTGGCTGTTTTTGCAGAGGACCCAGCTTTGATTCCCAGCACCCACATGGTGGCTAACAACCATCTGAAACTCCAGTTGCAGAAGAATCTGATGCCCTCTTTTGACCTCCACAGGCATTGCACAACACAGGTGCACTTACATACAGGCAGGCAATACACTCAAACACATGAAACCAGACTCAGCAGGTTCAGTAGCCCAGAATAGGATAGTTGGCTTAGAAAACCTCAAATTGAGTTATTCTCATTTACCTGATCAATTAACCTTGTTGAACTATGCTTTCGCATTGTGAACTGGGTTGGTGATAATAACTCTTGCCTTACAAAATTATTGGGAAAATAAAATAAAAATATTTCCTGCAAAACAAAACAAAAATAATAAATAAATATTTTTTAAAAAAGAAAAGCCAGGCGTGGTGGTGCACGCCTTTAATCCCAGCACTCAGGAGGTAGAGATAGGCAGATCTCTGTGAATTCAAGGCCAGCCTGGTCTACATAGTGAGTTCCAGGCCAGCTGGGGCTACAGGGAGACCCTGTCTGAAAAAAGACCAAAAAGAAAAGGAAAGAAAGGAAGAAAGAAAAGCAAACATGGAACCCTAGGGTGGACAAAAGAGTGAGGAACAGACTTGTCACATGTAAAAGAAAAGTGAAGCTCATGATGGAACCCAGTAAAAGGGCATCTGTGAAAACAGGGAAGCAAGGAATCTCCAACAGAGGGTCTGGCAACGAGCAACTAGCAAAGTCAAACCGTGTAGGATGTGCCATTTACACATGTGCTGTGCCTTAATAGTTCTGAAGGGAAGCCTGCAGGAGTGGGGTATCCACAGTGGGGGAGAATGAAATAGAAGGGTGAAGACAGTCACCAGAACCTTAGTGACATCTAGGTTATACTTGCCACAGCTGGTTGTGACAGCCTGCTTGGCCAGAGTACGTCTTTGCACGGCTGTATCTTCCTCCAATTTTGTTTCCCACATGCAAGTCAACTGCAAGCAAGCTCAATGGTGACGCATCTGCAGGTCAGTTCTACATACCTATAATCCACCAGCCTAGCCTCGACCAAGCATCACAAAACCACGACCAAGCCGAAAGCATCAATCCACTTGCCAAGCCCAGCAGAACTGCACCTCTGTTAAAAAAAAAAAAGAAAGAAAAATGACATGAGACTCATGATGTCATTAATATCTCATTGTTTCAAACATAAATCAGAAACCTATCCCCTACTTCCAGGTACATCTAAGAGATAATGAATATGAAAACAACCAATGAGGTAACCAGAGCCCAGTAGGAAGCAGTATTACACACAGTAGGGCTAAGATGCAGCTCAGCAGAAAAGCACTTGCTTAGCATGCAGGAGGCCCTAGATTCAATGCCCAGTGCCAAAAATAAATATCTCTGACAAATGGAATCTAGCCTTTCATGGTCAAGATAGACACTACAACTGTGTTTTCTCAGACTCATACGAGTCATCTGACAATTCCTTTGCCAAAGACCAAAGGAAAAAGTCATTGTTGGCCAAAGGAAAGTCATTGTTGGGCATGGTGGTACACAGTTTTAACCCCAGCACTGAGGAAGCAGAAACAGACCATCTCTCTCTAAGTTTGAGGTCAGCCTTGTCTACCTAGAGAGTTTCAGATTAGCTAAGGCTATATAGTGAGACTGTCTTCAAAAGAACAAAGTTGTTGGCAATATTTGAGTAGTTCTCCTTCTTTCTTTTTATGCCTCAGTACTGTTTTGATCTAGTGTCTTCCTTTCTAAAATCAACGGCAGTTAGACAGCTATATTTTTTTAACTGCTACTAACTATTTTATTCTTTCACTATTTTTGCAAAATCTTACATGAGAAACAAAAAGAATTTAAATAAACCTCAGTGGGCAATGGACTTGGCAGCAATAACAGCTACAGTGTAGGATTCAGTTAAGTAACCGTAACTGAAATTAAGCTTAAAAACCAGCACTCATTACAGACGAGGCACTGTTTCTGGATTGTCACCTGTGCTATGACTCACTTTACCCTCACAAGTCTCTGAGGGAAATGCTACTGTTCTGTCCAACAGCAGAGGAGAACACAGGTAAGATTATTTCCTGGTCAAGGCATTGTGGTCTATTAAACAGACGTCTGCCATTATGGTGGGAAAGGCTGGGAGGAATGGCTAGCAGATGCTCTGTGTTCCCTGCCACCCACAAGGCTCTTTGCAGCAAGGATTCTTCATACTGTGCATACAGGAGCTCAGAGGCAGCTTACACACAGCCCTCAGTTCCCCATCAGCTATCTTAAATCCTCCTGCACAGAGCAGACACCTTTTGGCTCTTCATCCAGAGCTCTCCCACACTTTCAGGCAACGTTTCTGACATCAAGAGAGAATGGAGGTGAACTCTCTAGCCAGCACAGATTGGCTGTTCAACAAAGGCCAGGCCCCTTTTCTCCACCCAAAAATGATAGTATCTTGATGGTTTCTAAACCCAAACTCACCCAAATGGGTTGGGATCCGGCCCTGGGTGAGGATGACCACTCACTGCCCATCTAGAAACAAGAGACACCTCGCCAAAGATCCAGTGTGTGAGGAACATGAGGCTCCCAAAGGCCGCACCTGCCAACAGCCAATTGGGTCTAGAGGCCGTGCCCTTGGCCACCTCACTGGACTTCTTCCCCTCAGGATTACTGCAGTCACCATCTATAATTTTTTAAAAAAGGAAAAACAAAGGAAAGAGGGAGGAAGGCGTTAGAAAGGAAGGAAAGGATGGGGGAAGGAAATAGAAGAGAGGAAAAGAAGGTGAGAAGGGGGAGCTAGAGAGATGGCGGGCACAGTGGTTAAGAACACTGACTGTTCTTGCAGAAGACCCAGGTTCAAATCCCACCCAAATGTCAGCTAACAACTGTCCGTAACTCTAGTTCCAGGGGATCCAACAGCCTCTTCTGACCTCCACGGGCATTGCACGACACGGGTGCACTTAGCAATACATGCATACACATGAAATAAAAATAATAAAATTTTAAAAAAAGGAGAGAAGGGAGAGAGGGAAGGAAGGAAGGGATGGGGGAAGGAAATAGAAGAGAGGGAAAAACGGAGGGAAGGGAGAGAGGAAAGAGAGCCAGTCACATGGAAATGCATCCTCTTTAGCAGACTCTTGGTAGTAGGAAATGGTCCCTGGCTTCAAGAAGCTTTCTGTAGTAACAGGAGACGTGCACCTATAAGAAGTTAAATGTGCCCCATATACTCGGTGGGAGAGAGAGTTTCTGGCTACATGAAGGGTGGTACAAGGGAAAGCAGGTATCTGGAAATCTGATGAGTAAATGTGGAACGCTCCTAAGATCCTGCGAAGGTAACAGTGAGCAGATAAAAGTGAACAACGCATAGAGGGAACAAGCGGCTCCAACTTGTGTACAACGTTCTAGAGGACAAGCTGCTTCCTTCCCAAAGAACAGGGCTCTCGTTGAACCCCCTGGGCACCCAGGATAATAACTGTGCACCCATGAGCCCGGGCTCTATGAAGCCCTCTTCTTTTATACAAACTCGCTTTGCCTGTACAACTTTATAAGGTGTGTTCTATTACTAATCCCTTTTTACAGCCCAGAGAGATTAATAACTTGTCCAAAATCACACTGCTCGTAAAGAGAAGCTCATTGGCACTTAGGAAATGTGCCTCTTAAACTAAGTATCATGTTGACCCAACCCTGGGTACTTTTGACTCAGACTTTGTCATCAAAGCCTTGATTTGATGAAAAATTGCAGCCACCCTGGGAAATGTTGGCAGGAGAATTTCTTTGTAGCAATACAAAGAGCCTGTTGGGCAGATGTTTTGCAACATAGTAAAGGCGCCCAGGAACAGAAGGAAGTCTTGGGGTCTGCCTGTAGGGCTAGCAGTCAGATTTCCCTGGAAGGAGGAAAGCTACTCTGACAAGAGGGGGATCCAAGAAGAACCGGCTGAAAGCTGCAGGAAGGAATGGGGTGGAAGTGGGTGAAGACACAGGGCGGTCTGGGCCTGGGGTCCAGCCTGAGAGTGTGAAGAGAAGAGATTTTCTAACCTGTGTTTGCTAAGTAAACCTTAGTCAACTGCAACAGGTGACTCCAACCACAGGACCAGCCACATCTTCAAATATTCAAATAGAAAGACAAAAAGCACTCCTGTATTCAGATCCCTAGTGACAGTGATGAAGGAGCTGTGGTTTGGAAACAAGGGCACGGTGCAGAAGCAGAGGAAGTCACGGACAGCCAGCAAGGAGGTCACATAGACTTAAAACAGGTGAGAAAGAGAAAACTCAAGCACCAATTGCAAGCCTTGTCTGAAGAGCAGATCAGGATGAGCTAGCCCTGAGGAACGGGCTGCCCAACTTGCACATCTATGTGGGAGGGTTTTATAGTGTGGAAAACACACAGCCAGGGATGCAGCTAAGCAATGAATGGGTGACTGTTGAAGTCATGTGACATGCTTAATTTCTTCCTGTTCTTCATATCTCAGTTTCAAGCCAAAATCGGTGCAGGAAAGGAGATTATATCAGAACTTTGTGTGCATACTGGCCCATCATTCTCCATTTCAATAACCTATGGGATTTCTCCCTGTGTTTAGAAGAGAACTGACTTGCCAGGAGTTAACACTAGAAATCAGAAGCAAGTTCATTAGATTCCAGTAACACTTCTCGCTTGTTTTCAGAAGAAATCTCAAGCTGGTTTATAAAGCAAGTATTCAAAGTAGGTACCAATGTATCTCAGAGAAAGTCAACTCCTGAGACAGGGAACCCGAAAAGTGTGACTGTGCAAAGATATCCTTTCCTCTCAAGCTTCAGATTTGGAGACTCAGATTCAGGAAGGGGAGGCATACTCCAAGTTGTTGCTCCACCTGGACAGAAGCAATTTTGCAGTCTTACTAATGTCCTGGGGTCAGGGTGGAGGCAGAGGATGGACCGTTCCATCCTAGTGCAAAGGAAGGAAAGAAGACAGAGGTGAGTTGAGCTAAAGTATAGGCCCTGCTTTGACACAGGACATCCCACCATGGTTTCCTACTTGTTTTCTACCAGCCCTGTCTGCACTGGCAAGGAACGGGAGCCTTCTGCTCACACAATAGTCCACTGTCTGTGTCACTGTTCCAGAGGAGGGGAAGCTGCAATGAAGCAACAGTGCAGAAAAACTGTTTCTATAAGTCATCTCCAGGCTGGGGGTATAGCTCAGTTGGTAGAGTGCTTGTCTAGCATGCATGATGCCCTGGGTTTGATCCTCAGCACCATCAAAACAAAAGTTCTTTTCCAGATGTGCTATTTCATACAGAAGAGATAAACTTCACAGAGATAAACTTCATATAAATGAACACACTCACCTGTGCCAATTCGGTCAAACACGGCTATGGTACTTAACGTCAATATCACTCTGTTAGACTTCTGGTAACTCCATATTGGGTTTAGTGACGTATACCATATGCGGAGAACAAGAAGAAGAATGTGCCCCAAAATGAACCCCCAGATTCTGAGGTACCTGCAAATAAAGAAAACTATATTAAAGATTTTTCCCATCCAAGTACTAACCAGGCCCAACTCTGCTTAACTTTCGGGATCAGACAAAATTGGGAATGTCCAGTGTGGTATGGTTGCAAACATATTAAAATCTTTCAATGGTGGATTCGATATATGTGTCCACTGTGAATTCATTTCATAGAACATGTATTTGCAACTGTCTTGTTGGATATCTTCAGTAATGTGCTTAATTTAGCCTTTATGGATTCCAGTACCTAAGCAACTTACAATGTATGTTTCTTAAAACTTTGGGGGGGGGGCTGAAATTAGTAACACTTGCTATTCTTCCAGAGGACCCGAGTTCAATTCCCAGCACTCACATGGGAATTGAGTGCTCCCAGCTAACAACCATCTATAACTCCAGTTCTAGGGGATTCAACACCTTCTTCTGGCCTCTGCAGGGCATTGCACACATGTAGTACTTTACATACATCAAAACACTCATACACATAAAATAAAAATAATAACATACTAAAAAACTATTTTAAAAAAATTTATTAGAGGGCCAGTGACATGGCTCAAGAGGTTAAGGTACTTACTTGCTGCTAAGCCTGATGACCTGAGTTCAATCCCTGGAACATAGTGGAAGGAGAAAATTGACTACCACGAGTTCTGAATTGCACACACACACACACACACACACACACACATACACACACTTGACTAGGTCAGGAAATACAGCTAAATAGCAGGGTATATACTGAATTCCCACAAAGCCTGGGTTCAATCCCCAGCATCAACAAAACAAAAATGAGATTAATGTCAAGTATCTGCATCCTCATTTTGTGAAAAGGAAAAGAAGGGGATTTTACAGCAGCATATAGATGGTAAAACTATACATTAAAACTGCTGAATGGAGTTTCCCTCTGATCATATCTGTTTGTCTGTAGGTGCGTAGACATGAGCCATACCTTTGCAAGCCACTTCCTGACCACCAGGTCACTGATTGTACTATCGACGAGGAAGACACACCAAGTGCAAGGATCGCCAGTCGAAGCTTAGCATTTGGAGCCTCAAAGGAGGCTATGCTGCCTAAGAGTAAAGAAAGGAGAACTGAACACGTCTGGCAAGCATGTGCCAGCACTCAATGATTTTCATTTGATAAACATTGTTTCTGAGACCATCTTTATAATCAAGAAGCTAGAAGTCATATATACCTATACATATATCCTTAATTTTTCTTTATCTAGATAGAACTCACGTACCATAAATTTCACCATGTTAAAGTATACAACCTAAAGTTCTTGGTGTGTTCACAAAGTTTTGCAACTACCACCACTCACGTCAGAACATTCCCACCACCCCCAAAAGAATCCCCCACTGTCTTTGGCATCACCCCCTCCTCCTCTCCCATGCCCACAGCACTGTCAAACACTAAACTTTCAATATCCATAAATGTTTCCTATTTGGGGCATTTTATATGAATATAATCAGATAGTATGTGGTCCTTTGTGGCTGACTTCCCTCTCTCACCCCAATGCTCTAAAGTCCATCCATATTGCAGCATGGATTAGTGCTTTACTCCTTTTATGAATAAATAATATTCTATTGCACAGATAATTTCATTTTGTTTTTCCATCTATCTAGCTATTGATGGACACTTGGTTATTTCTATTTCTTTTTTAATATTTTTTATGTGTATGAGTGTATTGCCTGCATGTATGTATGTAAGTGCACTGTGTCGTGCAATGCCCAAGGAGGTCAGACAAGGACATCGGATCCCCTGGAACTAGAGTTATGGATGGTTGTTAGCCACCATGTGGTTAACACATGGGATTAGAACACAGATCCTCTGTAAGAGCAGCCGGTGCTCTTAAAGCTGAGTCACCTCTCCAGCCCCTAGGTTATTTCTATTTCTTGGATTTCATGAATAATATTGCTATGAACACTTGTGTACAAGTTTCTGTATGAACAACCACTTTCACTTTCCTTCAGTATATACTGAGGAGCAGAGCTGTGGGTCCTATGATGGTTAAGTTTTACATCGATGGCACTGATGAACAGGCTCCCAAAGCAACATAGCACTATAAATTTCTTGAATTTCTACCAACGATATGTGAAAATTCAGTTCCTCATCATTTTTTCCAGCGCTCGGTAATGTTTTTCTTCTTTTATAGCATTCCTGGTGAGTCAAAACACTTATGATAAAAAATAATCTAAATCACTGAGTGTAAACTAATTTCATAGTTAATTGCATAGTAATTAGTTTAAATGCCTGAGGTGCCAGAGGAGAGATTGCCTGTAACAGTCAAATGTCTCTGTGTAAAAATCACTTAAGGCTCTAGAAACTCCCTGTCAGACATGCCCAGGAGTTTGTCTCCTAGGTGAGACTAGATCTTGTCATGTTCACAATCAATATTAACCATCACACCATTTGATTACAGTACTTCCTGTTGTTTCCCCACACCACCGTGCTTCAGGAAAACCTATCACTCTGAGTGGGAGCAGAACTGCACTTGGAAAACTGAGTAGGTAGTCTCTCAGTTGGGGGTGAAGAGGACATTGTCTGCCAAGTACAGTCCTGGTAACGGCTGATCGTAGCTGAGGCTATGGAGAGCTTGCAGTTGGCCATGATTTGCTTTGAAACCCCCTTCACAAGCTCTTTAAGGAGCGGAAGCAACTTGGGCATGTCTGAGAGGGATTATCTAGAGGAGAAACCAAGCTGAGCCCCAGCTCTCATCTCTCTCTGCTTCCTGAGTGAGGGAAATGTGAGCAGCTGCCTCAGTTTCCTGATGTTGTGCCTTTCCTGCCGTGATGGCTCACACTGTGAGCCAAAATAAACCTTTCTTCCTGTAAATTGCTTTGGTCAGATATTTTGTCACAGCAGCGAGAAAAGGAGACCATACCCACCCCAAATGTATTTACTATTATATCAAATTTATGGTGTCATTGATAAGATCCCATCTAGAAGCTAAGTTGAACTGTGATAAGAAAGTTAAGTTTTGTAAGGCTGATGCCACAAAGATTCTTATAAGGATACTGTAAGCCAGCTGCAGTTCAGATCAATCAGCTATCGCATAGTGCAAGTGAGCACCTTCATTCCCTTATCTCTGGAGCTGACCGTTTCCTGAGCATTACACCTTTCAATACCTTTGGACGCCATCTTTATAAAGGGAAGCTTCCCCGGGAGTCTTTCCCACTATTCCTTCTAAGCCTTAGTTGTATTAAAAACAAGAGCTCTACACCTCACAGGGAACCACAGAACCCAGAGCATGGTGTTCTGCCTTCTTCAGGGATTGACAGAGAGAAAGGCCAACTATATTTTTCCAGGGATGCTTGGCACTGCTCCTGAAAACATGACACATTGGCTTCCAGACAGAAGAGCTGCCCAGTGTGGTCACCAACAGATGCCACATGGAAATCTCTGAGAAACCCACTGGGTTGTAACAGATGGGGAAGAAGTCTGAATTTCAGCTACAGAATTTTTCCTTTTTAAACCTGTTCTCTATAACTTCATCTTCTTACTTTTTTACTGCCAGTTGTTCTCCAAGTTTTCTCAATGTGTATTAAAACTTTTTTAAAAATTTCGGTTCTTTGTGGTAGCAATATACACTTAAATTTTTATTATTCTTGGAAATATATACTTAAATTCAGAATGCAAAGGTATAAAACATACACAGTCCAAAGTTCCATCTCCAAACCTGACTTTACATATCACATTATCCACTGTCACAACAACTAAAATGTTACCAATTTCATTACTTTTAATTAATTTGTTGTTATTTTATACATATACGTGTTTTGCCTGCATGTATATAAGTGCACCATGTGCATGCAATGCCCATGGAGGCCAGAAGAAGGTTGTTGAATCCCCTGGAAGTAGAGTTACAGGTGGTTGTTAGCCACCATGTGGGTGCTGGGAACCAAACCTGGGTCCTCTGCAAGAGCAGCCAGTGCTTTTAACCACTGAGCCATCTCTCTAGCCTCTAAAATCGTTTTAGAGGTACCTAACTATGTTCAATCAAATGCTAAATATATTTCCATCTGTACTTTTTTTAATAGAAAATTTAGCATTCCATGTGCATTATTTGGTACAAACTTGTTCAAAAAATATTTTTGAAAAACACTACATTTTATTATATTAATAATAGTCTCTGTAGCTGCATAGTATTCCAAGTTTCATAATCTTCATTTATTTATTCTATCCTTTAAAGGTGGCATTTGGGTTATTTCTAAATCACCATTATAAGTATCCCTGAAATGATTAAAGAACATGATATGTTCACCATTTTATGTATTTATGAGTGTGTCTTTAAGAGACAATCCCAGAAGTGGAATTGCTGAGTGAAAGGTTATGTGTAGATTTGTAGTTTGGATAAATACTGCTAAATAGCCTGCAGTAAAGTTGGTGCCAATTTACATATTCAACCAGCAATGCAAGAGTACCTGACTTCCCAGCCTAAAATACAATGTTATCATATTTTTCTCTACAATCCATTTATGATGCTATAAATATTGTGCATAGTTCATGTTCTGTAAGCTTTGTTACTTTTAAATTTTTATTGCATTTATTTATCATGTGCATGTGTGTGTACATGGACACACATGCCATGACATGTACATGAAGGTCAGAGAACAAGTTGTGGGAGTCGGTTCTCTCCTCCCACCAAGTGGGACCTAGAAAACAAACTCAGGTCATCAGGCTTGGCAGTGAAAGTTTCACCTACTGATCCATCTTGCTGGCTCTGTCTTATTATTTTTATTTTTGAGAACTAATTGTAGTTCACTTACAGTGACAGAAAGCATCTTTTGCCACTTTCTTGGTCACTTGATCATTATTGGTCTTTTATTATTGGTTTATAGAAACCATATATATTATAGAAATCAGTCTTTTGAGTTTCCATCTGCTGTTTGACTACTTGCTGTGGTGTTTGTGATACATCAGTCCCATCTTTCTTTCCTTCTTTGGTTTTTTTTGAGAAGCTCCCACCATGTAATTAAAGGTGTGTGCCACCAGGTCCGGTCATTCTTATATCTCAGATACAGTGCTGTTTAGTCATCTTTTTCATTACTTCTAAGTCTGTCCTACTTGATCTGTTCTCCAAAGTGCATTTTTCCTCCCACCTTATTTCAGTGAATTTCAGGTTTTTCCAGTCTGACCGAGATGTTAGAAAGATAAAGAACACATTGACTCCCATCTAGTCTTCCAATTGTACTAAATTTTTTCCAAGGCAATAATGAAGCTAAGAAACTGGAGGGGTTTTTTGTTTTGGTTTTTTTTTGGGGGGGGGTGTTTGTTTTGTTTTGTGTTTTTGAGACAGGGTCTCCCTGTAGCCTAGAACTCACTATGTAGCCCAGGCTGATGTAGAACTCACAAAGATCTGCCTGCCTCTGCCTCCCAAGTGCTGGGATTAAAGGCATACACCACCACACCCAGCAAACCAATGATTTTTTTTTAAGGATTTAATCATTCCGTATGTGAAGAATCTGTACCATTTCACTTAATTTTTCACTAACAGAAGGATCCAAACACTGAAATCTTACCAACAGTGACCATCCTCAGCAGGGCAAGCATCCATCTCTTATTAAACAGGTTCCAGAACAGAGGCATTGTTAATAGTATCGGAGAGAGCAGGGCTATGCTAAACACTTCCAGCCCTGTGAGCTCCAGCGTTTGCAAGGGAAAGTAATAGATCATGGGCCCCAGGTCATGATAGAGAGACCAAGAAACATAACCTACAAAAGACATTTAGGAGAGAAAACATAACTTAGAACAAGACTTCGGCTTTGTTCCTAAAAGCAACATGCCACTCCACACCCCTCTGGGTTTCTTGTCTCTGGTTTTAACTGGGTGCTGGTAAGTCAATCCCTCCCCAACCCAGCAGGCAGGGTGGAGAAGGCTGTCCTACATCTCAGCATCTCTTGTCTGCTCCCATAGTCATGTAGTCATACAATCATGTTGATGCCTGTAGGTAGTCCCTTTAGTAAGCTCTCTTAGTCTAGACCATCTGAGATGAAACTGACTTCCTGATAGGACCTTGATTGATAAAATCCCTTTATCTCATTTGCCCCCATACATATGTAATGAGAAATAAAATTAAAAACTAGCAAGACTCCCTCCACCTACCCCAAAAAACACCCTGAAGCCCTTCAGTTAGGCAACAATTTTTTCTTATAAGTAGACCATCTTCAAAACCAGCCCTGACTGCAGGGCAGGTAATGGAAAGCTCGAGAAGTTGCAGCACATCTACCAGCAACAGGCTGTGTGAACTTGGGCAAAAAATGATGATTAAGGCTGAGGCACTGGTGTGTGCCAGGCTCAGCTGAATGTTAGCACAGATCTTATTCCCCATGCAACCCTATGTCCTAAGAGTTGAACACTTTCTCGTCCCTCTTATCAATGCAGAAACAAACTCCTGAGACCCAGAAGTTTAATTGATTGCCTGCTGTGCCCAAGTAGCAAATGGCACAGGAAGTTTAAATCCAAGAAGTCCACCTCCAAGGCAGGTACAGTGACTGTCTCCCAAGTTCTTTCTCAGCATCTCTTTGGTAATTATCAGGAATTTCACTACCTCACAGTTCTCAGGATGGGAACAAGGTCAAGTACACCTAGCCTCAGAAGAACGCGGTGTGAATCTCTTCACACCTCCCAGTTTACAAGACAGAATGAAGCAAAAGCAGACAGCCTCAGGCTTCCCTGAGAACAACCGGTTCCCAGAGACTCACGTTCTCAGGAGGGTGCCCTCCTCAGGCCAGGATACTGGCTTCGGGAGCTATGGCGCTTCAGCGAGTTCCCAGACTTTTATTCAAGCACTCAGTTTAATGACACGTCTCGCGCAAAACTACAGCAATAAATTCCCAGCACTTCCGGCAAAGCTAAGTGAGCCCACGATGCCAGCTTCAGACGCTTAAGGGGCCAAGGCGAAGGGCAGCAGATACCGCCCTGGGTTCATCTACCACCCCTGAGGGAAGGAGGTGCCCTTTTCTTGGGAAAGTTAAGTCCAGTACAAGCTGTAGTAAATTAAACTTAAATGTCACGGCGCGACCGAGTGTTGTACGAGACAAGGCGCACTGGTGGAGAACTGGTGCCCCTCTGGTGCAACGCCAGAGCGGAGTGAATGCTGCGGAGCCTTGGTGTCGGGCCTTGGATTTCTCTGGGTCTGGTGGATCTCTTTGGATTTGGTGGATCTATCTCGGTCTGGCCTCCTTCCCTTCGTTCCCAGGACGCGATAAGCATCTCGAATCCTCGAGCCAAGCTCGCTTTTCTCCTTCCCCGGCTCCACACCTCCACTGGGATTCGGCACCCCCAGCGCGCGCCTGGGTGGCCCGGACTTACCCAGGAGGGTCTCCAAGATGACTGCTCTCCACAGGCTGAGCATCGCTGCAGCCACCTGGGAAACTGCCAGGACCTTCCTCCGCGTTCCCCACTCTGCGGCCGCTGAGTCCTCTGCAGCCCGCTCAGTATCCCTGATCCCCAGGGTGCCTGGAGCCCAGGCAGGGTGGGACCGCCTCCTCCAGGCACACCTGCGCCGCCCGGCCCTACGCCACCTGTGCTTCACAGCTTTAGGGGACGCGCCTCCTGGCGAGCAGACCTGCGGGCTCCGGACCTGCCATCTCACCCAATCCAGGTGGCCTTGTCCCCCGCATCCCACCCCACCCCCAGGGGGGAGCCGGGAGGATGGAGCGCTGCCCAGCCTGAGGCGGGGCGGGGCGGGGGGGAGCTCCTGGATTGCAGAAGCCCACGAGGGTGTGCTACGTTTGTGGCTAGGTTTGTGGTAGAGTGGTAGAGTGTTTGCAGAACGCAAGAAATCTTGGACTCTACCCTCTGCACCGCATAAACCCGGCCTGGAAGCACACAGCTGTAACCTCAGCATTCAAGAGATGGAGGCAAGATCAGGAATTCAAGGTCATCCTCTGCTACGGTGGTGAGAAGGCTGGAGACCCAAAGGCCGTAACTGCCCAGCTGTGATTGCAGAAGAGCGCCGGTGACACCCACAACCCCTCTCCGATTGGTGCAAACTTTCAACTACAGAGGCTTGCCTGTACAACGACAGCCACCTGAGCGCGCTATCCTTTTTGTGAACTTTCTTAGTAAACACAGCTCACAACTTGTCAATTGCATTCTGGAAAAATTAGCCAGAAATTCTAGTGGTTGCAAGATTTTCTGTGGTTTTTCGGGGACACCCCCGACATTTGCTCAGTGGAGAGAAGACAAATTTGAGATGCAAACTCGGGCTTCCCTGACTTATAAATGACGCTATTAGGGTGTCCATTCCTTTCTCAAAGCAACTTAATTCACTTTTATCTTTAAACAGAGCATACCCCTTTTCACTTGGAGAAAGTTGGATTTGAAATTAAACTAGGAAAGGGTGCCTTAAAAGTAGGAAATAGCTCAAAATAATCGTTAGCAATCCGCAGCAGTTTTGAACTAGGAGTAACTAATTGCTTACCACCACCCAAAGATAGCCGTATAAATCAATGGAATGAAAGGGAAAGTCCAGCATCAGTCCTTTTGTCTGGGATCAAGTGATTGTCATGAGGTTGTCAAGACTGTGACAGGGGATGATATACAGTCTTTTCAGCAAAGAACCTTACAAGGACTAACTACCATGCACAAAAAGATAAAAGTTGAACCCCAACCTCATACTGTACACAAAAATCAACTCATAACCTCTCAAAAAATAAAAGGTAGAAAATCAAACTATGAAGCTCTTTGGAGAAAACACAAGAGCAGAGCTTCATGCTTCTCAGTTAGGTAGTAGGTTCTCAGGCACAGTATCAAAAGCATAAGATACAAATAATAGATAAATAAATTGGCAGGAGACAGAGGCAGGCAGAGTAGAGGCCAGCCTTGTCTATATAAGAAGTTCCAGGCCTGCAGGGCTACAATGAGACCCTGTCTCAAAAACACCAAAAAAAAAAAAAAAAACCAAAAAAAAAAAAAAAAACCAAAAAAAAAAAAAAAAACCAAAAAAAAAAAAAAAAACCAAAAAAAAAAAAAAAAACCAAAAAAAAAAAAAAAAAAAACCAAAAAGTAGATAAATTGGATGTCATCTCAGATTCAAAGCTTCTAGCAGGTGCAGCAGTGTGAACCTGTTGGGAGGTAGTTGGGGAGGCTGAAGCAGGAGAATCATTAGCCCAGGTGTTCAAGGCTGGCCTTGACAGCAAAATAAGACTTCATCGCAAAAATAAATAAATAACCAACAAAAACATGAAAAGAATTTTGCTTCCAAGGACTCCATCAAGAAAGTGAAATGCAAAGGCTGGAGAGAGGGCTCAGCAGCAAAGAGCACAGGCTGCCCTTGCAGAGGATTCTAGTTCAGTTCCCAGCACCCACATGGTAGCTAACATCAACCATCTGTAACTCCAGTTCCAGGGGATCCAATACCCTCTTTTGCTAACAATGGGCACTGCATGCACATGGTACACTTATATGCAAGCAAAACATTCATACAAATAAAATTAATAAAATATTTTTAAAAGACATTAAAGAAAGGAAGTGAAAAGAGGTCTGTCAAGGTGGATCAGGGGGTAAAGGTGATTGCTGCCAACCCTGATGATCTGAGTTTGAATACAAGGCACCCACAGGTTAGAAGGCTAGAACTGAATTCTGCAAGCTGCCTTCTAACCTCCACATGTGTGCTGTGGCATCTGAGCACCTACATACATACACATGTATGTAAAGAAATAAATGTAATAAAAAATTATTTTTAAAGTGAACTGAATTGAAGTAACCCAATTATAAAGCATGTACTTAACACACCCCAGGACCTGTGTTCAAACCCCAACACACATGTGCATATGCAGAGAGCGAGAGAGAGAGAGAGAGAGAGAGAATAAAGCCCAAACTGGGAGAAAACACTTATCAGTCAGGCATGTATACTAAGGGCATTGCATCTCCCTTTGCAGCAAGGTGTGCCCTGAATCCTCCCACTGAGATGACGCTCTGGGCTTCCCCACTCTGAGTATTTCACATAGATGGACTCATACAATAAGCACATGACCTTTCACCTCTGGCCAGAAGTCCTTGGGTTATATTGTGAAAATATAATGCAATTTTAGAAAAGCCATCAGTGGTATTGATTGCTCTGTTAACAAGAAAACAAATGGAGAAGAGTGGATGATCTCTTTTGCCCTTCTTAGCTTGACTTCTAAATCCTGCACAGAGATGAAGGCATCTTAGAAAACAGTCTAGCATTAAGTGTACTTTTTCCTCAAGTGTATAATTTCAACAGTTTGTATACATGTCAAGTCACATTGGGCAGTAGTTCTGAGTGAACCATACCTCCATTATAGGGTGGAAAATTTGCAGCACACGAAGTAAGGCTTCCCGTGTGTCCTGCAGACAGTGGGCTCTCCCTGCTGCTCTTAGAGTTGGCCTCAAAATTCTCCTCAGTAATGACTTGATAAATAAGTAGGCAGAGGAATATTACTCAGTCATAAAATGGAATAAAATACTGGCGCAAGCCCCAAGAATGTAAAGTATCATGTTAAGTGTAAAAAGCTAGACACCAAAGGCACGTCATGGCCTGAGTACGCCCATATGAAATGCTCAGAACAGGGAAGTCTGTAAAGGCAGAAAGCACTCTGGTGTCTACAAGGAGCTAGGATAAGGGAGAATAGGAGTAACTGTTTAATAGGTAAGGCTTTTATTTTAAGAGATGATGAAAGTAGTTTGGAATTAGATTGTGGTGGTAGATTTATAACCCTGTGAATATAGAAAGCCATTTGACTTTACACTTTGAAAAGGGGAATTTAATGATATGTTCATTTTACCTAAATTGAAAAAAAAAAAAAAACAGCCATTGGGTATCCTGTATCTATTTTAAAAGTATTAGCAGGGTATGCACTGGATGTGGTGGTACATGCCTTTAATCCTAGCACTTGGGAGGTGGAGGCAGGTGGATCTCTGTGAGACCAGGTCAGCCTGGTCTACATAGTGAGTTCCAGGCCAGCTGGGGCTACAGGGAGACCCTATCTCAAAAAGTCCAAAAAAAAAAAAAAAAAGGTATTAGCAGGATATGGTTTCTCAAATTTGTAATCCCAGTACTTCCAGGTTTGAGGCAGGAGGGTCAGGAGGTCAAGGCTATCTTTAGCTACATAGTGAGTCTAAGCCAACCTGAGAAACATGAGAACTCAGAACTCAAGAGTACAAAGGTAAATAACCCAATTTAAAGATGGACAAAGGATGTGAAAGAAATTTCTCCAAAAAAGATACACAAGACCAATAAGCACAAATGTTAAACACAATTTCACTGGAAAAATATGCTTCGTACTCACTAGAGGGTTCTGATTTTTAAAAAGATAACACGTGCTGTTGAGGACGTGCTGATAGTAGAAACTTATGCTTTACTGGAAGAAAGAAAGGGACAGTGATGCAGTCAACTTAGAAAACAGTATGGCAGTTCCCCAAACAATTAAATACAAAGATACTATACGGTCCCACCTGTCCACTCCAAAGTATATGTACAGGAGAGAAGTGACAGTGTACAAAACTTGTGCAGAGATGTTCACAACAGCATGGTTATAACAGCCCCAAATGTTCATCCACCAGTCGTTGCAGTAGAACACCACTCAGCAATGAAAAGGAACCAAGTATTTCTATACACTGTGGCATGGATGGATCTTAGAACTGTGCTAAGTGAAAGAAGCCAGTCATTTAAAAAATTCATAATGTACAATCTTATTTAAGAGAACTATTCTGAATAGGTAAATTGATAGTGACTAAGGGTAGCTTAGTGGTTACTCAGGACTACTGAGATAGGTGGAGAAGGAAAGGGATTAGTGAATACAGTTTCTCTTAGGAGTAGATGAAAATGTTCTAAAATTAGCTGTGACAGTGATTTCACAATTGTCAGTGTATTAACGATGTTGAGCTGTACATGTGAAGTGTGTGAATCATAGGGGTGAGAGTGATATATCAAGAAGGGTGTTTTCAAAGTGCAATCCACACTGGTCACAGCTCTTTAAAGTGTGCTGGGTGAGGCTGCAGCCCTTTAGAGTCAGGCATTCTTCAGCATATGGACTTAGGCACCGAAGACATTAGACCCTTCATCGTCTGTCCTTATGGCCTATGTGTGTTTCATTTCTGTAGTAATTCTGTTTCTCATTGCCATGACAAATACCCAACAAAAGCAACTTAAAGAAAGAAAGAAGGGTTTATTCCTGCTCATGGTTTGAGTTTGAGGGTACAGTCCTTCAAGGTGGGGAAGGCTGCAGGAATGTGAGGCAGCTGGTCACATTGCATCTGCAGCAGGAAGCACAGACAGGTGACTGCTGCTCCTCGCTTTCTCTTCGTTCAGTCCAGAACCCCACAGAATGGTGCCACCCACATTTGGGGTGGATCTTTCCTCCTCAATTAAAGCTGTCTGGAAACACC